GGAAGTGTTCAAGAAATAGTTAAATTACAGCTAATTGATGCCTACTAAATGGGAAATATAGAAAAGTTATTATTCATTGCTACGTTTTGTAATAAAATTAATAAAGTTAAGATGTAAGTAAAAAAGATTTGTTACAGAAACTAACCTTGTGCTACATAATTCCTGCATAATCGGCAGTTGCATTCGTCGCACTTCTACTCTTTTATACTTTTTTTAAAAGTGGTTATATTCAAGGACTGTTTGCTGTAATTTGAGACTTCATGTCACAACAGATTAAGTTTTTAAAAACTTACGCTATTTGGTGTCTGGAACAGAGTGGTTCTGAGTTGCCACTCCCAGTTCCACGCTTAATGCGATCATCAGGCCATCGTTCTGTCCCAAATCAAACTGTCAGGGCTTTGGACAATTTGAATAGAGGGAATCTTTTCAATGAAAATTTCAGTTAAAAGGCTTGGGCTGATATTCAATATAGTTTCTCAAAACTCTGTCATTAAAAATTGCAGATTATTTTTGTTGACATACACAGAGTTGGTCAAAAGTGGATCAAAGTCAGATACTATATCCTTGTATGCGATGCTTAGTGCTTTTTTGTGAATGTGGTTGACCTTGTTTTCAGGACGTCTATCGCTGAACATCCACAGTAAAGGACAGTAGCTGAACTGGGAAAGGGTGAAAGGCCGAATATGTTGAAATATAGAAAAGTAAACAAGTATAAAAGGTGAAAAGTTTTCAGTGTCAAGTAAGTAAGAAATGTGAGAAAACGCGTGAAGCTGCTTTCATTCGAAAACAATTTTTTGTGTGTCTTCAAAGAAAGTTGTTTCCTCTGTGCTCTCCAGGGTGGGTGTGTTTTTAACTCGTCTTTAAATCATTATTTTTTCGACCGAAAATCATCAAATGGCACTCATCGCCATTTAGTTTCACGTAGTTACTCTGAAACCACTCTGGAAAACATAAACTGGTTATTCAGGTAGATGTTAAACAAGAAAAGCCCCAGAACAGATGCCTGTGGAACACCTACGCTAGTCTCCTTCCATATTCTGAGAGCCTTATTGACCTTTGCCTCCACCCAAATAGCTGTGAATAAGCTGCCGTGCTCGTCTGCTAAAGCCATACGCTTCTAGTTTTGCAAAAAAATACCGTAAAAAACAGTTGAAAAAAGAAATACCATACTTGAAAGAATCTATTGTTGACAAATGAAATATTGACAATTTCTGAATTGAGAGTGTGTATGCCATCAAGAACGTAGAAATCTACCCAACAATACGCATTCATTCACAGTAATAGCCCCTGCCCTCCCAATTCGAGTTAACAAGATTTTGTATTCATGGAACTTCGAGTAACACTGAAACAATGCTGGCATTTCACCTTCAATATAAGTTGGTAATTACTGAATATATCTCTGTTATATGATCATAATGATTGTTAAAAAAATTTATAAGCAAGATGCGTAAATAGGTCTAGGCCTATTAAGGTGTATAAAGAGAGACGAACAAGATCGCTGGACCGCACATTCTAACGAGAAAACATAAGACACGCCGAAGCCGCACTCAAAATTGTATGGTCAGATATAAATGAAAACACGCAGCCTATAGTCCAGAAACTGTGTTTGTTTGAACGAATTAAAATAAAATTTACGACAAAATTGTGAAATTTTATTGAATCGTATTAGAGTCCCTTTTTAACTCTTTGTAAATTATATGATCGCCGTTGTTTCAAAAGCTTTTGTAACATAAAATTTTATTTTTGGCATGCTGATGTCTCCTAGCAACATGAAATATGCCGATAAGAGGATTTTTAGCTTTAAATCCATGCAGTCTTTTAATGCCTTTTTAATCTTCGTACAATTCATGCAATGGATCACAGGTTTATTCAACCATGTATCATCTCATTCATTTTTTTGCTCATTCATTTCCCTATTCATATGTTCGTTCCTTCGTGCACTTATTCATTCATTCGTTCCTTCGTGCACTTATTCATTCATTCGTTCCTTCGTGCACTTATTCATTCATTCGTTCCTTCGTGCACTTATTCATTCATTCTAATAGGTTGCCAGAGCTCGAATGTAGCAAATATATCTTCACCACTTCCCTTAACAAGGCCTCAGTCGGTTATCTAAGAAGGCAGGACCATTTGATTTCTCAGCAAGGTGTACGATTTTCACATTTAAATGGATTCAATGCATTCGTAGGATTCTAGTTATCTATGCCAATCTTCTGTTTCCATGCAGAAAACTGATGCTATAAAGAGCAGAGTTGAAGTAGGTAAGCCTAAACTCTCCAACAGTATCGTTTTTAGCCATGATTAACGAAGAAATGAGGCCAGATTCCTTTTAGACCCAAAATGTTCGATTTTCTTGTTCTTTAAAGTCCTTCAAGGGAAAATAATGCATTTTGATCAAATTCCTATTAGTACCCATTTATCTTTTAAGTTGCATTGAAAATCTCTATGCTAGTTATAATTATTATAATAATTTTCTGTCTTTTGTTTTTGATTCAACCATAACAGTTTGAAACTGAGTTTTAGTTTTAAGAATCTGGAACAGAAAAATAGGCGATGCTATATCCCTGTGTCTCCTTTAAAATTTAATTGTCAATATTCGCGTTTTTGTCAATATTCGCGTTTCTGTCAATATTCGCGCCAAAGCATTTTCGGAACACTGCATCTGTATGGCCAAGATAAAGATTGATTCATTTATGGAACAATAGCATTATTTCATCTTGGTTTGGCATATGCTTTAAGTTGTCACAGTCCGGAAACATGGCAAATATACGGTCAGAAATCGTGAGAAAGGCCCATGAAAATGAAATAAATGCACCTCGCCAAAACTTGATATTGTTTTCTTTGTCCTGAGGCAGGATGAACATTCCTCTGGACTGATAAACCCTTTTGTCATTAGTGAAACATGCAAAATGTCCTTCCGCGAGGATAAAAGCTATTCCTATATATTTCCCAGCTATTCCAAACAATTAAACCTGAAAATTTTAAACATTGTTCTGTTTGTATAGCTTTTCTGTAGATAGACTAATTGCTTTCGTGAGTTTGTGGTTTTTCTTAGTTTTGGCCTAAATTTTAGAAATTATTTGTGAAAGAGGTCTTTTCTTCTGCTGTGCACCTCTTGACGTTATTACAGCATTGGGCACTGTTAATCACGACTTACCTTTTGATAAGCTCAGATATTACGTATGGTATAAGAGGGCTTGCCCTGCCATCTTTTAATTCATACTTAGATAACTAATTTTGAACTGCGATACATGGCGTAACTGCAAATACTCTTGATCTTAATGGCGGTGTGCCACAGGGAAACGTTCTTAGACCCTTACTATTCTGCCTTGCCAAAATGATATCTATACCACTTTTAAGAAGCTGAAATACTCCCTTATTGCAAAAAACACGAATACGTTACTTGCTTGACTTAATTTGAACGAGTCTCGATCAAGAAATTCGTGTAAAATATCATGGTATTATAATAGATGAAAAGTTAAGCTGAAACTATCAAGTAAAACAATCACATCTTGCAATTTTTAGTGGTTTTAGAGTTCCTGTCTCCCAAAAAGTTATCTAAGAACATTATAAAAGTCTTTCATTCAACCAGGAATGTGCTGCTAATTCAACTTTACAACCAAATATGTAGTTTACGCAATGTTATCAGAATATTTGTCTCTGCAGGTTTAACCGCACTCCAATTTTTAAACGTCTGTAACTCTAACTTTTTGACAAATCTTACACGCTTGCTGTGGCGTAGAGCAGGCAAAAAACCCTGTTGAGCTAAATTGATATTTTGTCGGGAAATTTCTGGTCTTGTTGGAAATTTAACATGGCTGTCATTTATATCTGAGTGTTAAATTTTGAAAGGAAAGGTTCTAAAGGTAAATATAACGATTCCTGCCGTTGTTTAGAATCAGATTGGCAATCTCTTTCAGTTATATATTGTACTTGAAAATGCATTTCTTCAGAAAAATCGTCAAGAAGTATGACTTATGACACCAGACTTTTAAAAATGATTAGAGTTTATCTCCAGTCAAATTTCAGTAGCAATGTCGTTATGTTTTGCTCAAATTTATAAAAATATATTGCTTTTTAGATTTGTGCCGAAAAATTAAGCATCTAAGGAAGCATCTAAAGTTACTTTGGAAATGAACAAAAATTAAGCAACACTGCTTAAACAGGAATATTTCAAAACAAACCAATACGATATGATACAATTTCATCAATACAATACGATAGAAAATGATTCTCCCATCTTGGCTTTTCTTTCACGACAACTTTCTCATCTTTGATGGTATTCAGCTTTGGAATTCTCAGCCAAATTTTTTGAAAACATGTATTGCCAAAGCATCTTTAAAAAAGGTAAACAAAATAATTATTCTCGTGAGAACTGGTCACGTGGCTTTGATTGCTCTATCGTGCTAATTGTTGTAACATTAACACTGATCAGAAACAATAATGTTAACACTGTATTATTGTAACTAACAAATTGATGTTGAAATAAGAACAAAAAAGAGTGAAAAGGCAAAAATAACAGCTGAATGGAGACTCAAGGTGCCGAGGGAGCCCTATGAGAAGATGGAGGAACGAGATCGAAGAGGAGACTGCAGACTGGGATCAACTGGATGCAAAAATGAATGAATAAAGTTGTGGAGCAGACAGCCAGCAGTTTCTCAGATCTCTGGGGCAGACTTTCAGTAACTTTCATGGTCATTCATGGTAAGAAGGTATTGATCCAAAATTGAATCCATTCTTTAGCCAATCTGTTATCTTCTAGATCTCGTGAAGCTATAATAATTCTGGTTACTAAAGCTCTTGATTCTTTGTTTTTCTGTTCCCTCCTTCAAGACATTTCGATATTCTGTATCACATTTTCACTGACTTTTCACACTTGATGCTGCAATGAGCTAACCCCGCCGTGCTTCAATCTTCTAGGCACCCCCCCCCCCCCCTTTGAAATGTTGTTTGACGTCAAATAAGATTGGACCTCGTCTTCACGATAGATTTTGAACTGTAGGCCTGGAAACTAGTGTCTTCGTGTAACAAGAAACATGACAGCCATAAGAGAGGTGGAGAAATATTTTCTTAGCTGTAACAAATAAAGAGACAGGAAGATTTTTAATACAAAGAAAGCTATATAGACTCAAAGGATAGTGCAAGATGTCTGAGACATCACGACAAGAGAAATTGGCTTCCGCCAAGCGAAAGGTATGGTTTTATAGTGACATTTCCAATATGTGGCTAAATTTTTTAATGATTCCCCGAAGATGTTTTCATACTATTTGACTCGGCTGCTTGCTGTTGGATGGGTTCCAGAATAAAAGCAGTTGTACTTTTATCAGTATTTTTGTTGGAATAAGTTATTTTTTACTTATCTCTGGACATGTTCTGCAATTTGTTGTGATATCTTGCGATTTCGTTGTAGGAATTTAGGCCGTTTCAATTTATTGCGGGTCCTGTAAAAATCATTTGAAAACAAGTCACATTGAAACCGTGTAACCCATGTAATTCAGCTCCACCCATTAACTCCATTATTTTCACTGCACATATGTGGCTAAATAGTATATAATATCGACTGAGAAATCACAGCACAACTACTGGTAAAATTGGTCCCAAAATCTGCGAGATCGTGCGTTGCTTGCACGACCAGACAAATGGGTTGACAATTTGCAACTCTTGTTGATTGTGTTAGTCATAACTTTTTATAAAATGTATCTAAACAGCTGGTGACTTGCTGCCCTTAGCATTTGCAAAATGTGTAAACATAAAATTAGACCCTGTTGTGTTAAGAACTGAAAAAATGTCACATTAATACATTTGCTATATTCCAAGTATACTTCAACATATTTTGTGAACACAAGATTAGAAAGAAAAAAAATGATATATGGTCAATGACACAAAAAATGATATGATATAAAGTATGATATATGGTCATAACATTAAGGACAAATCCATTCATAAAAATCTAGTACATGGTATCTTATAGCAAACTGAATTCAAACACTCTAGCCTTTGATTGTTCCAAAGTTTTTGGAAGCATGAATTATTTGAGTAAAGCTTGGGTAACATGAGGCAAGGAAGCAAACAAAGTTTTTATTCATTTTCATCCTTACTGGTGTGAAAATCACTAGAACTTCTTATATGCAGTTCAGTCAGACAAAATTGTTTCCTGCTTGCAATAAAACAGTCTTTAAAGTGTTTCTAAGGTAAAAAATAACTTAGGTTGAAAAGGTAAATTTTACCAATCTGAATTCAAGTGTTATTTCGGAATTGCTATATATCATTTCATTTCTTTGCTATTGTCACTCAAAGTTTGGCCTAGACTGTGAAAAAAGCAAAGAATCTGTGACGTAATTGGGAGTCACTTGGTTCCATCCACATAAACAGCTGTAGAGGTGGTGTCGACAATAATTTAAACGAATTGAGTTCTCCTTGGTGACAATATCAAGTAAATAACAAAGATAGATCAGAGATAGCCATTTGTTTTTTTAAACAGAAAGAGATAACTGTGCAACGTTTGCTGATAAATCTGATTTTCAAAAAACCATTGGATACAGTTGATGCTAAAGACATGAAATTGTAAAAGACAGACAGACGGAAGGTAGAAGATAGCAGAACATGGACAAATTTCAAATATGTGAATATTTTACATACTGAAGAAGATACATGTTGATGCTTTGACAAAGGAAACCCAAACCTGTGCAAAGCTCTTATTACTTAAAATTGAAATTTAGGTCATTTAAACTTTTCGAGCAGGGAATAAAGATAGTATATTATAAGCTACAGAAAATAAACATAAAAGGTGATGAATTGAAAGTTCTTTGTTCAGGAAGCTTTTAAAACAAGAAGCATGTAGTCCACACACTGTTGACAGTATTGATACCATTTTAAATATAATGTTTTTAGTAAAAAACATTTATGCTTGGAGGGCAAAAATTGCTGAGTAGCATTTTTTTTCAGCTAAAGCAGTTCCAGCAGAGGAAAACACCAAGCAATTCTCCTGCACCAAACCCAAGTCCTAGCCATAGTCTTCAGAAGACATCTAATGAACTCATGTTTGGACCAGGCTTTCAGTCACCATATAATCAAAGTCAGGTAATACTGTTTTTTGGTCCATTGAATATGCTTTAATTGTCCGAACATACCATCTGTAGATGTGATATAATGTTCAGTTTTGAAGGCCCTAAATCAAAACTGTCATGCATAACTGTAAGCTGCAACAACAAATTCACAAAAATATAAAAGCAGCCCCTTGTCTCAGTTCTCAGTTTCTCAAGTATCTCTTTTCGTATTATCCCTAAAGAGCATGCATTTTGTATGGATGGTACAATACAAGTAGAGTTTGAAATATGTTTGAGTTTGCCTAAGGAAATTGGAATCTTATGAGGGAAAATAAACACCAAAGATTGGGGCTTATTCAAGAAAGGGGTTCAATAAAAGGGGATGATAGTTATTTAACTGACATCTGTTGAGATTCTACATAAGTTGATAAAAGTCAAGTTTGGAGATGTCTTATGCCACTTCACTACAATTTCAGACTTGACAACCTTTAGAAATGTTTACATTTTGTGTGTGTGCTATTGTGCATTTTGATGCCCTTCTATACATGAGACATAGAGGCTCCTGTTTGGCATATGTGGCTCAAACTGAATTTCTTACTCTATAGAATTGAAGGAAATATTTAACACAATGGTTTGGCAAAGAATGATTACACTGGTGATTGTACCTAAATGTGGTTCTGATTTACCTTGAAAGTTAGAAAATTGTATTTTTCTTTGCAGACTTTGAGTCCTCAGTCACTTCAATTTACTCCAAAGTAAGTATAAGAAAGTAGATAATCATGAGTTGTATTTTCATAAAGCCTGACCTGTGGTTTATTTGTTAGGAAACATCAATGACTATTTATTCAGCTTTGAAAATATTGTGGTACAGACACTGTCCAAACAACAGCAGTTATCCAAATATCTAAGCTGTTGAAAAACAAGTATATACCTGCTTTGTTTTAATAATATTGTAAAAGACATGTTTTATCTACATAAATCACTACTTTCATCACAGAGTTTAAACACAGGTCAATTTACATTTGTCTCAATGCTGTAATTTACAATGTTTGTGACAAATTTTGAAATAAATCCAGGATGTATTATAGGGCCAACTATTTTTTCCTTACAATAGGTTACATTAACAACAAAATAAGACAACAAATTATGATGAAATTACATTTGTTTATCATTTTGTCTGTTCAATGCAAACTAACATCATTGTTCTCCATTCCATATTATCTTCATATTGTCATCATAATCATCAATATCATCATCATCATTGTTTGTTTGTGAACTGAATTCATTTTGCTGTTTTCAAAATGTTCCACCTCTGCCTTTTCAAAATTACTGTACTCTTTCATTTGTTCAAGGTATTTGCATCACAATTACTGAACTTGCCTGAAATCAAAATTTCTAGACCTCACTGCAAAGTTTTGGAGAGAAAATGACAGATTGCACTATTGTCTTAACAAAAACATTGACTTTGAGCACGCATGAGCCAATAAAATATCTTTTTATTTGCCTTCAAAAGGGCCCAAAAAGATACTGCCTTTATTTTCTGTTTTCCAGAAATGCTTCTCGTATTTAGTTGCTGCCTGGGGGGGAGGGGGTCGAGTCCCAAATTCCCAAATTACCTAGAGTCTGTACTTATGGGACTGAATATTTAGAAGACTTTATAGCTCTGCCCCTTAGAATATTAGTAATATGCTCTTATCTCTGGTATCTTAAAAATCCATGATGGAATTTTGTAAGATCAAATTTCTGAAAATTACCTATTCAAAATTTTTTCACAAAGTTTATTTGCCCATAATTTTATTAGCAGAGTTCCGTTTCAACTAGTTTTAAGTGTTCTGTAATTTCTGTTTGGTAGTTAAATGATCTATCATGGATTTGATATTTGCAGTATCCCCCTGAATGATACGTTTTTTTGTAGAAAAATACAAGATGCAGGCACACCCAACTCTCCAGCTAAAAATGTTAATGGAGATCATCGGGTCAGTAGCACCAAATTTTGAGTCTTGTTTTGAAAACTTTTTCATCCTCCTTTTAAAACTTTTTTGGCGATTTGTGCAGAAAGAATATAATCACAAGTTAGTTATTTCTATTGATCTATATTACAATCAAAACAAATTCAAGCTTACACTTTGTTCTGCTCATAATGATCTCCTCAAAACCCATAGGGGTTGCTACCTTGCAAGTACCAAGTACTATGTGTAACCAGAAACCTCTAGCTGCTACAGACATGTTATGATTAATCACTGAACTTTTTTCAATATGGTATTGTTGTGTGCTATTAAACCACTTATTAACACCCAAATATCCTTGAGATTTTCCTTGAGATTTTCCTTGAGATTATCCCAAAAGTCCTGATAAAAGAGTGTGTCTGTCTAATTTAGAGTTGCGTAGCTGTTTAGTCTTGTTTTGTAAGCTGGCCATAAATATTTATATTACAAGTCTTTAGCAAGGAATGTTGAAAATAGATATGAAAAATCTTTTCTATAATGCTTTTAATTTCACTCACAAAGTGTTTGTCTTGCCCCTTTCTACAGGACTTGTTGATGTATTTTCCTTTTCTGTTTTCAAGGAGGCTGACAAAAAGGATGGAAATCCAGCCATTCATGCAAATTCACCTGATATTACTAAAAGTGAAAGTAATAAAAGACATGCCATCCAGACATCAGAGATGATGAAGGCAGAGGATAACATCAGCATTCAAAGGTTTTTTATTAGTCACATGAATTTTATCTTTTCAAGCCATGTAGCTTAAATTCAGGGATTAATATCCACCAAGACTGTTTTACCCATTGATCTAGTAATTCTACCAGAAGAAGTCTTTTTAAAGGTTAATCTTAAGGTTTTGTTTCCAATAGTAAAGATTAAGAGAGACTTCAATTTGATTTGCTTGCTTATTAAGGCTGAACAATCATTGAATTGGTTCCGATGCAAATGTATTTTGTTGTATTCTGCTCCGAATCTTTATTTGCAAAAGCTATGCTTCACAAAGATAATTGATTAATTTATGTTTTTGCAATGGGGGAAATGTTTTGACAGTGTCACATTAGTCTCATGCTTTCCAATAACTGGATCCAGTGACAGCCAGGTCATACAGAGAGTTTCATTCGAGTTAGTGTCATCAACTCTTTGTCTTCATATTTGGCAAAAGTGAATCAATGAATTCGAATCTCTTTGTCAAAACCAGTCTGTGGTGTTAAAAATTTCACTGCATCACCAAATCTGGTGAAATCTTAAGATATATAATATTGAAAACGTAGTTCTCACCACAGAACTGTCCAACCGATATGATGTCTCCAACACAGTATTTTTTCAACATGGTGATTTAAAATTTGAGGTCCATTTTGCAATGGTCTCTAGATAGCAACCTAGATAGTTGATGTCTTCCGGAAACCAGAAATCGACGTAGCAAATTCAGGCTTGCCTAAATATAAAATAGCCTAAATATATCATCATCAAAGTTTTCCAGAAGATAAATGGCTGGCGTTTTAGTCCAACAGTTTTCTGCAAATTTTGAAATATCTCATTTCACAGTTACGAAGGAGGGTTTTATTCCTGTGACTTTTGTTTGAAATGTATTTGAGAAGCCAGTTGAATTTTAAGGCCAAATGAGCTGCGTGACCAAGGATTTAAACCAAGGTTAAAACTAATTTTTATCTTCTAAAACAAATCGTTTAGTGGGTTAAAGTTGGCAAAAGTAAGCTACAGTGATTTTCAGTTTTTTCTCTCTAAATTTTCATCCTCCATATACAAATAATGGAATTTTATAAGCAGGACAAATTATGACGAATTAAGCTTAAAAAGGAAATTTGTTGGTTTGTCGAAACTTGGTCTCGATAACGAAGGGAAAGTTTTCTATATTGTTTTGCAATATAGTTATCAGAGTTAGATTTTATAATGAAAAATTCAGAGTGAATGATTAATCACCGAAAAAGCCAAAAGTACACGATCTCCTACTCAATTAGAAATTATATATGTTATGGAGTAAATATGTTATTAGTTAAAAATTCAAAAAGTTAAAATGTAATTGATGAAGTCAAAAGAATTTATGATTGCGAAAGTTAGAGTGTGCATATTTGATTGAGGTAGAGATAAAGCCTGTGTATGGTGTTCGTCTAAAGAGCAATTATTCAGTTCCAGATCCCAGACTGACTCATTTCCAGACAAAAAGTAAAACGCATGTTCAGTTAAGACAGTGTCGGCCGAGGCAAATGAGGCTCTCATTTCTTTTTATCACCGTATTCATTTTTTTGACAAGGTTAAGACTCTTCAGGAAAATGTAAACACGGCTTCGCTTGCACAGCCAGTTCTGTTATTTGGGTCAAGAGGGTGTGGTGATCCGCAGACCTCAAAAGTTAGCTCGCGAATGTGGTATGGAAAACATGCTGGCTCAAGGTCCAGTATTGCTTGTGAACATTCTTTCGCGCATCTTTTATGGAAAAAACAGGTTTACATTCGGTTGTTTTCACTGTGATTTCATTACCTATTTCGCACTAGAATTTAATCATCTCTCTGACGTTTCATTATTCTGATTCACTACAATTTGTTGATATGAGGCAAATAGGAACTGGGTTTGTATGAAGTGAAAGTCTATTGGCTCGTTTTCCAAATAGGAGAGGCCCACTTCCCTCAAGACTCATAATAGTTAGAAAAACTTCTATTTTTTCATTTTCAAAAGTATGTCCTTGTTCCGTATAAGGGCCTGCTATCAGAACTGAAAATCGATTTAGTATTGAAGTTTATAGTGAACTAAAAATCCAAGAGAATGTCGTACATTTGCGAAAATTGTTGAAAACAATTATTTCCGATTTACTGGGAACAATGAGTCCTTGAGGCGAATGAAAAGATCTTGTAGTATTATAATGCTAGACTAAGCTCCTGGGATATGTTATATGTAAAAAATGACTAAAACTAGTTTGGCAGCTCCCAGTCTCCCTGAAAAGTTCAGCAGCCTTCCTTCGGCTGATAGAAAATGAATGTTTTGCTAAGACTCTAAGCTGGAACTTCGAACGATCCTACAAACCTAACGTACTATGGGGATATGTTGAATTCGAGTCAGGTTAGAGGCGCGTATTTCCAACGGCTGAAAACCAGACATTGATTCTACATCCCGTTCTTAATTTCTGGTTTCGGAAAAGGAGAAGAACTTATGACGGTCATCAATAGGAAATGGAGGTTTTCTAGGAGAACAGGCATGGCTTAATGATAGTTAATGAAATATTTTTTAATGAATTACAAAAAGGCGATATTTTTTGAAGATCGCTTTGACGGAAAGGAAGGCCAATTTTATTACCGATTCGCTCTCTCTGGCTCTCATTTTTATCTTTTTGATAGGAGATTCATTTTATATTTTGCAAATTCCTTTGCACTGATATGTCTCTTTTGAGTGCCTTGCTGATGAGTTGCTATCATAATATCAAGTACCTTTCCTTTTATATGTTTCTCTGCCCTTTTCAAGCGATTATCCTCTACATTTTCAATTTGCCCTTACAGCCCACGCCTTTTTGGTTATAAACTGTAACCATGGTGGTAGTGAATGCTTCTTTGTCTCATTTGCTCTTATTCCTTCCTTTTGAATTCTCAAATTTTTATTTGCATTTCGTGTTTACCTTCCATGCCTTAACTAACATTTTGACCTGTTGTTGGATGTTCTTTTTAATTGGCTTTTCTTAAAATTCTTTTCTTTTTACATCCCACAGAGATTTCTCTCCAGCTGAGAAAATAAAGCATATTGTAAGTATGTCTACGGTTTCATCAAAGTATTTTAAATTCACCAACTGACTTAAACAGTTAGTAGAATACTAATTTTTGAACGAAAAGGCAACTTTTATCCTCAAACCCCAACAACGAATCTGCCAGCTTCTGTGGGACCTTGTCCTATACATTTCGATAGTCAATGAAATAAAGTGTCAGGACCTTTTTTGCTATCTATAAAAACGTGTCGCCCCGTGTAATTCCTTGCATACAGGTGCAAATCTGCTATAACAGTTTTCAGCTGTGCTTGATTTTTTACAGATTAGGCTCTATTTTGCCAGGTACGAATAAAATCTTTGTTATTTTCCAGTCAAATCAGTTAAATGGAATGATCACAAAGGTGAGACCGCTGATTTTGTAACTTGATATTATAATTCATCATTTTGATCACAATTTAAAAGTTTTTTTATATACAAGTGTTACTTGTCCTTGAGATATATAAATGCTTGTTGGTGCTTACCAAGAAGATCAGAATAACATAGCGTCTCTTAACTTTACTTGTTTTTTCTCTTCCTTGTGGTTTGTCTGCTAGCCTGTCTGTTTGATCCCGTTTCCTATTATATAATTTGATAAATTTGGTATTTAAAATTCACGCAGCAATACCGAATTCATTTTCAATATCCCTAAAATATGTACAATTTTGGATTTGTTTTTAGAATTTGAAAATAAACTTTGTCAGAATACATTTTCTTTCTCATGAGCAAATTGTTTTTGTAACAAACAGGTTCATTTAGTAAAAATTACTATTTTACTTGTCTGTCTTATAGTGCTTCATACCATATAGTCAGCACGCTTTGGTCTAAATAACAATACGGTTCTAGGTTTCAGGATCAGCAGCTGCAACTCAGAACCGTCGTGTTCCGTGCACCTAAGTGTGCCCTTTCATTGATATCATCATCCATATCTTTGCAAATGGCCTAACAATCAGCGTTATCTAACCGTCGATTTACCTCTAGACAATTCAACCTCGATACACTTAAAAGTCTTTCTACATACAAGTGAATGAATTACTGATTGTCCACGCTATCAGTTCTTTGGGGCTATATCTTAAACTAATACTGTATGTTCCGCTTCGATGAATTTTTTATCTTTCCAACAGGACATTCTTCTAAATGCAGATGAACAAATTCTAAAGGAACTAGGATCACTTGAGGTATTTTTCTTGTAAATATTCTTTTTAAAGTTTTGTGAATTTGGACTATGTAGACCCAACAACAACAATTTTATTCATTTATGCTCTGATTGCAATCTTTTTTATATCTTTCCAAAGAATAAAATTTATCCTGATATCTTTCATAGAAAAACAAATCTCGAAAATGCTATCTGATAGACGTGGGTGTCTGAATCGAACAATTGAAGTTGAGAATGCCTTGAGATAGCTTAATTTGTGGCAGCTTAAACACTGTCCCATAGTATTCCGAATGTATTACCATTCTTTTGGCCTCTTAAATTTTTTTTGCTTCTTCTGCTCGTTGAACGTCAATAATATAAACTTATAATGACTTGTGGCCAGCTTTAGATAAGAAAGGTATTTCTTGTGTTCTAGAAAAGAAATAACGAGTTAGAAAGTAGCCTGCAATCATACAAAAGATCAAATCAACAGTTAACCAATCAACTTAACGAACAAGTGAGTAAAACTTCAGTTTAGAGGTTTAAAGTTAAACGTTGCCTCCAATATTGCCAACTTCTAGGACCCTATAAACGAAAATGTCGGTGCAATTAAATCGCTTGTTTCTGGACTCCTTCAATCAAGGCACAAATATTTTTTCAAAAATTTGATACCACTTTACTTGCTCTTTGATCGAAAATCAATGGGTACTGCCTATTGCTTTTTCGAGATTTTTGAACACCCGCGCTCTTTAATTCAACCCCTTGTCCTATTTCGTGGTCCTACACACGGAAGAAATTTCCAAATAATTGAAGGAGAATGAAAAAGGCACGGAGCAAAATAAATTCGTTTGTGTGTTTATTGCATTTTCACGTTGCTTTTATATTTTCAAGTAATTTTGGCATCTTTTCTCTAAATAATGGAAGTTACTTGCCCTATAGTGTTCGATGCCGTACAGGCTTTGCTGTACAAACTGATCCTCTAGGGTTACTTCCTGTTAATTTATCACGGATGGTGCACCCTTAAATGTTGGCAGATTTCCTATCCCAAGAGTAAATATTCTTTCTATTAAGCGATTTTCAGTTAGTGGTCATCGAAGCTATTGTATTTGAAACCTCAATTAACCATATCTATCTTCGTCTCGAGGCTATGCCTCAATGTGGCTGAGTATGTCTTCGCCCTTCCCTTTAGAATTACCATTGGTTTATCGCCTTATTCATTTCCATTCAGGTTGCATTAACTACATTTTGTACCTGGTATTGGCCTTTCACCTTTAGTACATACAGTATGTGGGGATTTAGGGGATGGGGTACCTGCTTAAAAATGACACATTTAGAGACACACCCGTTAATGCTAGAATTTAAAGAAATTTAAAGATGTAGAAAGTTTAAAAGATGGATTTAGTACATGGGTTTTTATTCAATTCACAACGGTATATCTCCAAAAGACTTGATTGAAATAATTTATTGGGATGTTCCACAGAAGGGATTTTACATTCTTATGTCACCTGTATGATTTTTGAATGTTTTAATGTTACATATAACGACAAGCCACAATGTTTACTCATTTCGTGCATATCTCTGTCAATGGACCCTTGTTTTTGACTCAGTTCACGACCGTATCATATGTTATGCGATTTTTCTTTTGTCTATTAGAGGAAAATGGTAATACAGTATCAAGAGAAATTGAAAAAGGTATGTTAAGTGACGTTTTAATTGAAAATCCAGGTAGCTCATCTGTTTGTCAAGTATTGATGTTTCCATCGAATGACGATAAACTCTCCGTCATGACTGCAATATGATTTTCTTGTGGCGTAATGCGTGTATAAAAAATCCAGATCAAACTTCTCAGCCCTTGAGGCAGTCAGACTTAGATAATGGTTTTCAACAACAGATCTTTTCAGTAGCCCACATAAAGACTTTGTTTTTCGAAGGAAAATGTTGTTTGGAGTTTTTATAACGAAAAATAGTAGATACTAGCCCCACGATTCAGGGACCACCTACGGGTTTGATAGGCTTCAGAAACATCTGACTGAATTGCAGCTATTCCTAAGGTTTTGATTTGCAAGCAGAGAACGCATGCATATTGTGGGGAGAGGGGCATAAACCTTTACGCAGTTTGTTAATATTCATTAATTGTGTTTTGAAGCAGCTATAATGTACAAACCAATAAACCAGGTATATAATTGCCAAAATAAACAGACCACGAAACAGTCAATCTTAGTATTCTTTTCAGTTTTGCAAAATATTTATTTCTTGTTTTGTTTTTCTCTTGTTAAGGAAAAGTCGGAAGGCTCTGGGGTGCAGTCGCAAGAACTAAGAGCAGCAAAAGAGCAGCTTGAGGTATATTGAGTCTGTGTCTTTGAATGTCGACTCTGCTCTCGCTGCGTCATTACTGCGTCATTACTGCGGCATTACTGCGTCATTACTGCGTCATTACTGCGTCGTCTTGAATATTGTGAAGAGAGCTTGTAGAAAGTGTTCTGTATGTATCATCTATATTCTTATACATTAGACTCTGGTTACATTAACACCAAAAGTTGTTTGAAAATTGAGACTGCAAACGGAGTGTAACTGTAAGCGGAGTTAAAATCAATAGTTTTGCATTTTTGGGTTTGAATTTCATGTGACTGTAACGGGTAGTGAGACTTTAAGCAGTGTGACTGTAAGCGAAGTCGACTGTATGAAAGTCAAGTAAATTAAACGTGTAGTGTGAATTCGTTGGTTAGACGAAAGAGGAATATCTTGTAATGAGCAAGGCGATCCCCATCTAACGGCCCAAAAGTATTGATTTCAAATATAACCTGCAAGATTTTTTTTTCAGGTTAAGAGAATCCAACTCAAGCAACTTTTAACGTTTCTCTTGTTTAATCTTTTGCAATCTTGCTTTTCCTAAGATTGCATTGGGCTTGAAACAGAAAATTTTAAAAGTTACTTTTTACATATAATCCGCCATTATATCTTCTACAAATACGTATACGCATGTGCTAGTTGTAATTATTAGTTCACAGCAGCCTCGATTTAGACGAAGAGAATTATTTTCGAACCAGAGTCTTGTTCAAGCCGGGTTGAGCCCAGGTTTAATAGTTGTCGTGAAAGAGGGCTTAAATTACACTTTTTGTAGATATAAACATATATTTGTAATGTATGGGTTGTTCTAATTACTAGTAAAATATTCAGCATTTATATTTCGCGCTAATGTTAGCAAGATATTTTGCGTAATAGAATCCAAAAATTTTCAAGGTTTTGAAGAATTTTTTTGTTTATAGGTTCATATTCAAACAATTGGTATTCTGGTTTCTGACAAAAGCGAATTACAAGAAAATCTCAAAAGATCGCAAAAGAAATTGCAGAAAAAGGAGGGTCAGTGTTAGGATGCTGTTGTTAGTGTTGACGCATGTTTACTTTGTTTTTATTCTTTTTCCTTTCAAGAAACCTGGCTTCTCTTCAATGACAGTTTCAATTGACTATTTTTTCATGAAAACTGCGGCGTCTATTTGAGAGCGGATTCTATTTGAGAAAATACAGTACCGTATTTCCTTGAAAGAGCGCCCTCCTTCAAAAGAGCGCCCCCCTCGAAAGAGCGCCCCCCTCGAAAGAGCGCCTCCCCTCAAAGGCGGACTTTTAAATGAACGCCCCGAGCCCTCTTTTGGGGAAATACGGTATACCATTTTTATGTATATGATACCCATTGTCGTTAGTTTTATGATTTGTCTATGTTTGTGTTTCTGTAGATTCATTTTTGCGCTTTTTTTTACTATGTTTGCTTTGGTTTTGTAGGTGAAAACGAGGATTTACAGAACAGACTCCAGGCCGTACGTCAGAGAGTTGTTGAATTGGAAAGAAACTTATCCAACTTGCAAATGAATTGCGAAAAATATCAAAAGGTAAAAATCTGTAGCGATAAATATCAACCAAAACAAACATATTTGATAAACTTTTGCCCCTCAAAGAGAATAGCCTCCTCGATCTTGTAGGTCTAAAAACACAGTAAAAATTAGTGACTCTGCCATCGGACAACATCTTTTAGACAACCCATATTGTGCAAAACTCTATAATGATGACATGTTTCAGATAATTGGCAGAGCTCAGTCGTCTTTTCATCTAGCAATTTTGGAATCGATCTACATTACATACAAACGAAAAAGCCACCATTGTGTAGACAGAAGGAGTTCGTTTTCTCTCTTAGTCTCTAGTGGTAATTTTTCTTTAGGCACGCGGCACTGATTGGACAACTTTGCTGGTCATGTGCTTGCGTTTTTCTGATTGTGTTTCCTTTTTCGATCCACAACTGGGTATACATTTTCCATCGTGTTCTTTCGGACCCTTGTTCTGATTTTTTATACTCTGAGGAGTGTCAGACGAAAAAGCTTCTAGTAATATGTTGTGAAATGTTTGTTTTTTCATAGCCATTTTAAAGTTCTGTACCGCAAAAGAATTGATAAATGTTTATGAAACTTTCGGATAGTCATTCTTCTACGGACCATTCTCTATCAGAAAGAAATGTAACAAGTTGGATACCTCATTCCATATAATCGCTTATTTCCAATTCTATTTTAAACTTTGTTTGCTTCGCAGCTACTAATTTTTGCTGTTGGCTGCTCGCCTTGAGAAGTTGCAAACACGGTTGCAAACATTTAATCAAAGTTTTGAAATCACTTAATAGTTCTACGAATCAGTAAAGTCGATCAAATACCCTGTGTATTTTCCTTTGTAGCTTTACTTGGTCTCCAGTCATGCTCCGTTGCTCATTATTTAATTAAAAGAAAATTTTAATCATTTACACCATACTTATTTCCCTATTTTAATCATAATAAAATTCTTCAGTGGTTTTCTGGTAGTTTCCTGTCTTAATTAAATTAAAGACCCGTCATCCGCTATCTCTTTTCAAATACTGTTATCTACTTTATGACTATGTCACCAAATTTGCTTTCATTGATTAAGTCTCTACTTCACCTTTTCGTATCTTATCCGTTTATAAACTGATTAGGCTAATCATGACTTCTTCTCACGTTATTTCTATTTATCAGTAATATCTTTTTTCAATTTTCTGCCTTGTTCCTGCTTGTTCTAGCATTCCCTTTGATACAATGCTTGGTGTCAGCTTCAACATGTGTATAGAGTGTTTTAATATATTGACTAAACAGGAATTGTTATTAGAGAAAAATATTTTTGTGGTCGTTTTGCTAACTTTAATTTAAAATGTTTTTTCTTTTGGTGTATTTCTAAATGTTTAAAACAGAAGTTTCAGTTGATGTGTAAACTATTTTCTCAGATATTGGCTTTATATAATTGGCTCTTTATAATTGGTTCTTTATGATTGGCTTGTTTGTTGCTGAGGGGGTGCACCGTGTTGATTTTAGTAAATGCGATCTTTTTCTGAAAGTACCACCGCCGCCCCCCCCCCAACACACATCGATCATAGTTCGTGGATGGCTCAGTGGTTAGGATCGCTGACTACAGACCCAAGGGTACGTGATTCGAGTACCTGGAATGACCAAACTTTCACCCAGAGAGAGGAGAGTTGCCAGCAATCTGTAATTCCAGGCGCCGGAATCACGAGGTGTGGTCACATCGAGAGGAAGGACCAGGGCACTGCCCGAGATACTGCATAAGCTTCTCAGTGTCCTGAAAAACTACCTTCGGATGCTAGGTAGAAACAGATACAAAGACAAATACAAATACATCGATCATTTATACTGCTCCTAACCAGATTCTGTGCTGTGAAATAGATGCAATCTGAGAATTTTAAAAAGAAGCTTTGGCTTGTAGTCTAACTTTGTCTTATTTTTTGTTGAGTTTTCATTCTCCTTTACCGTCCAGAACAACAAAGACCTGGCACAGGAATTAGAGAAATCCAACACTAGATGTCACTCTGCTGTGTGAGTATAAAGGAATCCTTAAGTTTCAAGACTCCCCATTCAATTATCATTTTCATTTATTGGGATTAGATTGACATGCTTAATGAAATGACAAATGATACTATATGAACAGCATTCGTAATTCACGTATATTGAGTTTACGGCAGCTCACAATATGCAGACATTTAAGTAAAACAAAATATTAGTGCCAGGATATCTTCAGCTACAGTCATTTGCGCTTAGAACTACTTACAGTGTGTTTGCCTTTCTTTATTTATTGAATGAATGGGCCATACGAATCATAAAGATACTCTACCCTATTTCTAGTGTTTTGTGATTCTGAACCCATGGCTACAAAGCTATCTATCATGTTCTCGATGTCTAGTGGATTGGATCTCTTCCGCATTGTGAACATTGTTCACTGATACTTCTAAGATCGATATTTAGAATGGAACATACTAAGATCTTTCTTAGTATACTTTGTAACCGCTAACGTTAGCCATTTGTATAGTCTTAGAGTTGCTTACAGGTTAATTTCTAGTTATGTTTCTTGTTTGAACCAAGAAACCTCGGCTGCTCTTGTGGCAAAGACCCTGCTCGTTATGTAAACGATTCTTGTGAATAACTGTAAACATTCCACGTAGATTTTAAGTGTATCAGCGTTGGCGTGGCTTTTAAAACTGTCGGATGAGTACAGGCGAGAAAATATTTGAAAGAAAAGCAGGGTCATTTCCCCTTAGGCAAATGGCTCTCACAAGAAAGAAAGTTTTCCAGGAGTAACTGGTCCACTTTTCTATTTGGAATTTGCCATTCATTCTGGTCAAAAAAACAAAAAGAGACCTACCATTGTTGAAAATTGGTATCTTCTTTAAGGCGCATTTATTTTAAGAGGAAGTGGATGGGTAAGGTCCGTGGGCACGTATGAATGTTTTATGTTTTAACACGTGATCACTACCAACATTCCAATAGTGCTATTGGTTGACTTACATCTACCAATCAGCAACTGTCCATCAAATGACAATCGGGGTCTTCTGTTATAGCTCACTTTTCGCCTTTTCTTCACATAATTTTTCAATCAATATAATGTGTAAATTTTCATTATATCTTCTGATTTTTATGTCCATCGTGTCTATATTATTTGTGATAATTTTGCTTCTAATTTTATTTAAAATCTGTATACTCCGTTGCCATAATCTTTACTCAAACTGCTGATGTCCGTTTTTTAGAAAAGAAAAAGAGGATTTATCTCAACAGACGTCTGAGCTGCGTGAAATCCTAGCCACGAAGGTTCGCTGTTGTCAGTCTGTTTATTCTTTACAAATAAAAATTAAACCACTACCCAGACTACTAACTACTAACATGCTGGGTTGTGGAGCTGGAGGGAGTTGGGTAGGATAGGAGTGTTTAGGAGCTGGATAAATTCGGGATTATGTGAACTCATCTTTGGACATTAAAAGGTCGATGACAAAACTTTAGATATCTAAAAGCAATTGGTTGGCTCAGAGCCAGAGGGCTCTTTTGTCGTTGGTTGTATGGGGCATGTAGGGTTCTAAGTGTGTTTGATGCTTGAAACTTCCCTTCAAAGTAGACTTTGACAGTTAAATAAAGATTAACGAATTGCTGGCACAATTATTAGGACGTCGGTCAGAAGTAACGAAGAAACTATCTTTGTTTTGATTTTTAGGACCTTTGATTCTACCTTGAAATCCGCTTTAGCCTGTGATGTTTCCTTGATGTCCTTACGAAGGGAGCAATAGCTTTGTGATATCGCGAAAAGCCATTGGTTCCACTCTTATTAATAAACTTGAGAGTCAACTTTTTGTCCCCTACTTACCTTAAGTTTTACGTTTTTGATGTTCAAATCCTTTATATTTTAGTCTGCTGAAAGTGATAAGTTGCAGAACAAAGTTACTGAATTGACCAACAAACTTCAGAAAGCTGAGAACATCGCTCAACAGGTTCCCTATTTCTCTAAATTTCTCATTTTTGCAATACCACATGTTTTTTGCTGCTGTTTTGCTGGATATTTTTAACTTTTTTACAAATACTTTTCTTTAATAACAGTCTTTCGTTCTAAAAAAATGGACAAATGTGACGTCATCTTATCGAAACAATAGCCTTACCCCCCTCCCAGTTTTTGACCAAATGAAAAGAGGGAGGAGGCATAAGCTTGTTGTTTTGACAAAGTTGATAAAGTGACACCTTCTGAAATGCTTTTTCATTTGTTGAAGGCTCTCTTGAGAAATTGATTGTGTTTTGTATTTTTATGCAGTACAATATTAGGCCGGTTTTGAAAAAATAGTCGCAAGGCATGCCGGTTGGGCAAGAGCCTTTTAGTGAGATCTTTAAAAAATTTTATGGACACTCAATTTTATCAATCCGCTTTTTACGCAGAAAATTTTACTGATGGGTCGGTTAAATTCTTGTCCACTAATGTAACCTTGTTTGTTGTCACAGTTGTCATCAGACTCGAGTAGCTCAGAGTCGTGGGATAAACTTCACACTGAATCTGACATGTTAAAGCAAAAGCTCAGTGAGGTATGTGTTGTTCATCGTCTTTTTCCTTTAACCATGTATTTGACTGTGATGTTTGCATATGGTTGCTGAAGCTTAGCCAATTTCAGAATACATCGCTTTATCGGGTTAATGGGTTTGCAAGGACGGGCAACGTTTTACCGAAATCATCCTCGGGTGAGGTTTCTGGTGCCTTTTGTTAGTCTGAGATTTTCAGATATCACCACTTTATAGACTGTTACATGGAATTTTCTTATTGACCTGATTCGCTAGAATCAAAACCCATTGTACAAAACAGAGTTATTAAAGGCATCGAATCATCATAGAGGGAGAGGGTGTAGGTATACCCAAATGCACTGAGTCATGTTTTTCATGCTGCAATGCTATTGGTTGGCCTGAAACTGATCACATGAGCTTGCTTTGTACTGGTTTACAAAACAGCTTCCGTAAATAGAATTTTTCAACTGTGCATGCCGATATCACATGAAGCTATTGTGATCATGCGAATGCAAATTGTCTCCTGTAGAGCAGGCACATATACAATGGCTCAATGCCTTTAAAGCATATAACGCCCCTCGTTAGGGTTTTTCAATAATTAGCCCCCTTACAACCCCTGTCGGAGGAAAATCTCTATTTCATTGTTTCTTTGCTGCGAATCATTGTTCGTTGTATCAGAATTCAACTCTATTGTAAACAAGAATAGGCATAATTGTTCGGGTTGTTTCGTATGACCCCACATGACTTTGCTCCAACATAACCCTATAGTTCGGCGCCTAGTAGTTAAACCGTAAAACTTCACTCAATGTCTACAGCGAAAATATTGTTGCCAATGTTTGAATTTTTTTCCAACACCAGACGCCTGCCAACAAAGTATAGTTAACTGAATTCTTCTTGCATAGTTTTGTAAACATGAAACAATTCTTGAATTCTTCTGTTTTTCACCCTTGATATCGTTTTGCTTTTGTTATTCACACTTTCATGATTTTTATTTTAGCAAACAAAGCTTTTAGAAAAGCTTAGTTCAGAAAAGGGGGAGATTCTAGAAAGAAATCACTTGCGAATTGAAAGCCTCGAATTGGCGATTGACGATCAGCGTGCATTGGTGAGTGGTCATGTTTACTTTCGGTTTTGGGGGGTTGGGATGATATTGGGGGGGGGGGCATTGAAATGGCGGCTATTCATATTTTTGGCTTTGGGCTGTAAGATTCAAGCCAATAGATGAGCAAAGTGTGATTTTTATTATTGCCCGTATAAAAACATTGAAGTGACAATGTTGCTTGAATTGACAGAGGATTTTGCGATACTGATTAAAGCAGAGTCCTCGGCACTAGCCCAACATAAATGTCATTGTTCTTAAGTTCCCCACACTGCTGATAGCCAAAGGTACAGTTTTTAAATTCCAAGTTGTTAAAATTCCACAAATTTCTTTCAGTTCCCTGATGAATCGCAACATATTTATTCTTTACATTAAATGCTGATGCATCATTTTACAAGCTATTTTTCTTGCCAGCAACTGCAGAATATCAAATTTCCAGCATGTCTTTGAAAATGAAAATTAGTAAAACAGCCATAGTTTTATGTCCCGACATTTTAAAATGTCTAGGGTAATCAACCAAAGCGCCTCCATTACAATGCCCACACTTGATCCAAACATTTCCACGCCCCCGCATTCCGACCAAATATGAGACTACCGTTATGAAATTTGCATGCCTTGACGCTGCCAGTACACAGCTGGTACAGCACGATACCTTCGTTGACCAAATATTGGTAAGGATTTTCAAGATACATTGTACTTGAGTTCAAAGTTTTCGACAGCTGTCGCCGGTTTTGGGTACACAGGAAAGCTACAAGCAAATTGAAAGATGTGGGCCTAATCCGCTGTTTTGTCCCCGTAATCTTTTACTTGCTTATACCACGCTAGAAACATTATTTCTTATTGCATTATTAAAGTATAATCATTAGCAACTATGCATGATGTAAGGCCGATTTTTACTAACGAAGGTTAAGCAAGCACAGATTTTAAACTTGCTATTTCCCCTTGGTACATTGCAAAGATTGAGCAGCTTAAAGAAAGATGCTTAGAGCCAATTTTTCAGCCCTGTGTTTAAGACTGCATCATATGCTACAAATCCTGATTACAATGCAGCTAACCCTCTTTTGTTTTTATTGCGTTTTATATTAACCCATCACCATGTCAGCGAACATAGACACAAATGCTGTAAAACACGATAAAACGCTTCACGGCGCCGCATAGCGCTGCCCAACGCTGCAAAACTCCATAAGGTTAAGCTTAGTGTTTCCACAAGTATGATACAAAATACATTGGTTTATTTTTTAACCCTGTCTTTTTTATGTACTCTGCAAATTGTTTGCTGCGTACGTTCCGTATGAGATTTGGCATTTCCTAAGCAATTGGCTGCCTCTCTGCGTCACTTTGATATAGAAATATCACCAAGACTTCTTGATTGTCTTCTGTGGCTATCTTCCTTCAACAAACGCCCCTTCAAGTAAGATACACTCGAGTTAACACCCACGAGTGTTGCTTTCTAACTGCGACCTCAATGCAGATTTGAGTGAAAAGAATAGGTTATTTTATCTTGTGCAAACTTTGAAGATTCATCCAGTGGCGAAAAAAACCGGCAACCACAGCAAGGTACCCCATTTAAGTTAATGCTAGATCAGTTCCCTTGAGATAAGTGTTTTCAGCTATTGTGAAAATACCCAGAAAAGCCTAAGGTGGGCATAAAACTTTTAATAATTTGCAAAAGAATAATTTTCAGAGCCTTCTTGAGACATTTTGAAGAAGCCTTGGCTTTAGGTGCTAAACATGTTTTTAAATTCTGAAATCAAAATTTTGATTGTTTTTAATGTTAACTTGCTTTCAAACTCGGACATTCAATTTATTAATATTTACTATTTCAAGAGCAGTTTGATTTACCTGATTAAACTGACAGATACTGAAGGAAGGCTTTTTTAGATAACATAGCACAGTTAGATTTGATTCTCACAACATTATATAAAATGTCTCAATTGTTTTGCTCTGATACATGACAAAATAAATACACTTTCGATGACCCTTCCCTAATTCCTTTCTTAGAGCTAATGTACTTACAAGTACAAATAGTGTTATTTTTACAAATAAAAAAATTAATGTCCCCTAGTCAATATTCATGCTACACCTCATTTCTTTTAAATTCGTTATTCTTAATTTGGCAAAACAGATTATAATCGGAAAATAGAGAGTTCTCCTCTGAAACAATCTCAATACTCTCATCTTACACAACATCAATAACAAAAAAGGCCATTATAAGATTGAAAACTGAAAAGACTGAAAAGGTTAAGACAATACTAATTTCATGCCTCATTGTATCTCAAACTTGCATTGCATGTCTCTAACGAGCAATTAAAAATCATTTTCTGGAAAGTTTTTTGGTCATGCTTGGCATGACCTGCATGACCTCTAGCTTCGCCACTGGATCCATCTTGCGGAGGTGATGGGATTGTAAGAAGGTACTAGACTCCATTTACTCGGCCACATTGTACGGCCAATGCCAGGCACCTTTTAGCAAATAGAATTGGTAGTTGAACTCTTTTTCCATTCTATTGACATTGCCAACATTGTTGATTTATTTTAGGCAAATGTCTAAATTCTTCTACCATTTTTCCGAACCCTCCCAAAAGCCGTCGTGTCTCAATTCTCACACAGTTTTCAAATCAATTGATCTTTCCCACGAAAAACTTCTATTCCTTTTCAGATATTTTGTCTGTCTTAACAAAAAGAAACCCATTTTAATCTCAATAAGTCTGGAAAACATTTTATGATTCTTCAATCTGCAAACATTTTTTATTTGTTTTGTGAAAAGCGGAATTGTAGCTTTTGAGGCTGCATAAGTTACTTCAAATTATGAATTTTTGTCTTTATGTCAATCCAAAACCTTGCGTTTTGCCGTATAGAGATAGCCAACCTTTTTTTGTTATTCATAATCAGATCGAAAAGTACGAGAATCGAATTGAAGAGCTAGAATCGAAGGATGCCACTTCACAGCAACAGATAGTTGAATTTGAAAAGAAAATTGGTGAGTACGTGTTTATTAACGATGAAAGATTTCAAAGTTAGTTTATCGATAATGTTTCTTTGCCAAGCTAGACGTCTAGGCCCAACATGAATATTTGAATTCCGTGAACATCTTTTCGCATCAACACATTTCTTGCTTTTCGTGAAAGTTCTCTTTACTTCCAAAATTTTTCTTGACGATTTAGACACAACTAAATGTATACCAGTTTTAATGTGAAATTGGTTGCTTTCAAGTATCTTCTTGGCGTTTAGGTATTGGTAACCTACAATGCATCTCAATTAGTTGATGCAATGCCAAAGCTAAAGTTTCCGTGAACATTATTTATCAGGCATTTTAAACAACGCGTTTTTTTGAGGTTAGATGCCAAAACATGGTTGATCGATTTCAACTTTGAGGCAGTAGCTCACTGCTTTAGTTATGCTTTCCGTATCAAATCGACAATTGTTTTATTGTTTTTTTAAAAACATATAATCATTTTTAAAATGCCAAAGTGCTAAGTCAAATATATTTTGAGAATTCAACTAGGACTACAGAAGTCTTTCTTTTGACAGCATATCCTCCGTCAAATCACAATTTTTCTTCTGCCATTTTTACATAGTTTCCACCTCTACGCTACTAAAATGATTTTAATCTAGTTAGTTGCTTGTCTTTTTTAGCATTTTGTTACTTTGTAAACACTGCCTTTTTGTCTGACTTTGTCAAGATGTCTTTCAATTACTTTATTTTTATTTGGACTCTTGATTTAAACCCAACTTTGTTACCAATGTATTTGTTAACATGGCAGATCAAGTCATAAAAATGGAATTGTATGTTAACTCTCCCTTACAGCGGAAATGCTCGATAAAGAGGCAATGCAACAGACAAAAGCCACCCATCTTGCTGCAGGCGAAATCGAGAAACTAACGAACGAAAAGTCAAGTATAGAAAATGAACTGGACATACAGGTAAAACGATAATATTTTTGAGATGACAAATATTATAATATATTTGAAATTAATTAACATGTTTTCCCTTCCACGCTCCATTGTCATTATTTGGACAGAAACTGTTCTGATTCAATTTACGATCTCTCTTTGAAAAATACTCCAAACTTTTTGGTACCAGATTTGGTTTAGGGACCAGAGGTTTAATCTACTTATAAGTTTTCGAAATGCTAGCGCTCGTTATATTGGTTTTATGATGAAATCAAGTGGAAAATTGTTTGATTTTGAATATAACTTAAGGTTACAATGTAGAATTGCTGACGTTAGAGTCTGTGCTTATATCAGCTCCAAATGCTCTAAGAATCAAAGTTCTTCCAACTGAAATAATGTTGATTCTCCTTTATGTTTCAGGTCAGCGAGAATAGACGATTAAGCAAGTAAGTATTTAATCAATATTTTCTAGGAGTTTGATATGGCAGCTTGTCATGTTACTATCAATGCGAATTTTGACAATTTTTTGAGATGGATTGTGCCAACACTCTCCCATAAAACGCTTGTGTCAAGGAAATTCATATTTGAAGCATTTTGTTGTGGTCTGGTGGGGATGCAGTTTGGTAGGGTGGGGTATGGTGCCTTGAGGGTGTGATGGGGTTGGGGAACAGTGTCTCGGGGGTTCGGTGCGGTGGGTGTGTTATATAAAGGGAATATGGCTTTAAGACAGGATGATTAGTCAAAATGCATTTATTGAGAAAAGAAGGCAGTCCTACGTGAGTAAGGGAGATAGGAAATTTCCACAGAGGCAAGACGAATACAATAGTCGTGTATCTTTTTCCTAAGTGCACTTTTTGTTCCTTAAGGCGTTCTTTTTTTCAACATGTTGTTTGTTTCGGAAGACAATTTCCGAGAATCTCGAAGCTCGTTTGATTGCTCAAATGCATTTGGAAATATCGTGAAGTGGAAAAGCTGAAATTTTACATTTTACCGCAAGACTGGAAAACACGTTTACGCAATGCCACGAAACGCACGCCACACTTGCTAGATGACCGAAAATACTATCCCATCATATGCTTGTTAATTATTCGATTGGTAAAGTTGTTGAATTTCACGACCCCCTATACCCTTCTATATCATTTCCTCTGTACCATCCCCTCTATACCATCCTCTCTTTACCAATCCCTCATACCACCCCCTATATGCCACCCCCTCTAAATTACCACCATCTATCCCCCCTCTATGCCAACTCATCTGTACCATCACCCAATCTTAGAGGTCAATATACACGACTAATGCTACAGTATGATTTATTTGTAAAATATCGATTTTAGGCTAGTTTTGGATCAAGATGAACGAATCCAAGAGTTGGAGTCTGCCGTTGCTAGATTAGGTGAAGACGCCGTTGACCGTGTGTCATTGCTTGAAGATATGCAGAGCGATAAAGAAACAATCAGTCGTGCCATGCAGCAAAACAAGGCGCTCAAGGATCAATTAGAGCAGCTGGAAAGAGGCTTCGTCAAGACAGTAAGTTTAGGACATATGCTTTTTCAAGTTTCATTCGCTCTTGTAGATGTTTTTCGGCCCTAAGTTGTCGGTGGACAGTCTAGAAACATTGTAGAAAAGGAAAGAGAACTTGTCGGGCTTGCGACTCCTTTGAATTGGGGCGGGGAGGGTGCAGTCGGAAGTTGGTTTTTGACCAGATTGACTGACTTGATTTTTTTCGTTGTTATCAGGAAAGTATCAGAGACATTTTAGAGTTCAAAATATTCTCTCCACTAAAGTGCCAGACCGTATTTTGAAATTTATTTCCACTTTATGTTGCGTACGGCCCCCAAGCTATATTGTTCATTTCCTACTTTAAAACGCGATAATGCTTTTCTGTCTTGGTCCCCATTACGTGCTTGTATTTTAGCTCAATCCGTTCTTTTTCACGTGACAGTTCTTTTGTATTACTTGTATCGCCACTACAGAAGGATTGTCAGGTAAGCGTTGTCAAAAGTGCAAGATAGGCAATTAGGGTGATTGGAAATGTTGATGCAAAGAGTGGCTATAAAATGCTGTCATTACTAACTGTACTTAAAAACTGTGCTTAGAGCTCTCCATAGGTCTGAAAACTATTGTGATGTTGTATTATACTGAATAATAGGGCATTGGGATCTGTATGCCAGCCAGGCCTAAATAAAGTAGTACATGCTGCTGTGTTAACGGTAACGCTTGAACTGTTTGCCTCTCTTGAACTGTGATTAAGTGTATCCCATTTGCAATACTTATACGACTTTTCCTTCAGACCAATTCAAATGCCGAGCTCACCACCAGCCTGCAGAAAGAGCAACATCTAAACACAGAATTGGCTTCAAAATTGAGTGAAATTGGCGTTGAATTAGAAGAGAAGAAAGCCGAGGTAGGAAATGGCATTTTACTTCTTATGCACGTTCGATACTTAAACCCGAGATGCATCCTCCTTCGAACGAAACCTAGGAAATGGTTGTCGAAGTTAGTATAGCATATTCTTTGGAGCTTTGGTCAGTGGGCCAAAGTATCCGAAATCAAATGAGGAAAGTACCGTGTTTCCTTTAAAGAATGCCGCGGCGTTTAATACAAAATCCAACTTTGTAGTGCGGCGTTCAATAGAGAGCGGCGTTTATCAGAGAGCGGCATTTATCAGAGAGCGGCGTTTATCAGATTATGAAAAGTTTGTCAAATGAAGAATGACAAGAAAAATTCGATGAAAAAAATAAAAACAGACTTCAAACAAAGTTTTATTTTTCCCAAAAACACGTACTAAAGATTGGATGTAAAAATCATTTAAAGTTCACTAAAGATTTGTTCATGTTATCGAAATGTCAAGGAATGTCAATATTTCTGTATTTGTCAGAGTCCTCGTCCCTATGACATAAAACTTTCATAGCTTTCGAATAGTAAGCGTATCAACTATTTGTTTAAACTACTATTTCAGATCGCATGGAACAAAACAAAAGTAGACTGTTAAAAAAATCAGTTCGGTTGATAGTCTACAATACGTTAAATACAAGAACTTGGAACCTAAGTACGTGTCTGTAGAGTGCGGCATTATCATACAACGTTTTTGCTCATTAGGCCTTAACTTATCAATGAACACAAGCGCACTTATTTCAGGGTTTGGGCATTCATTCAAGGGGAAGGGGGTCTCTATTTATACTGTTCAAGGGCTATATTCATTCGAGGGAGGAGGGCTTTTTCGGAATATACTAAACTCCATTATTTGCGTTTGTAAAAGCAGCTCATTTGGATATACGAAGGTGACAGCTTTCCTTAAAATTTATTGAAAGCTTGAAACTCATTCATTCAGATGTTATCCAAACCATATTTGTGACACAATTGGTCTTTCAGAGAAGTTCTCAGGGAAGTCTTGGTAGTTGTCGTCACGTTCCTCAATGTGACAAGGAAGTGATTCAAATTTTTATCAGTGATTTTTTTTGTGGCCGTCCCACATTTCATTGCTTTGGATTTTCCCATCCTCAGCTCTTTCTTAAAGACAATCATGGAACCTTTAACTTGATTATATTATAGCTGATTAAAAGATTTATTTCTGTTGTGAATTTGAGGTCTTTGTTTCAAATTAGATTTGCATCGACATTGTTAATTTGTATTCAATATTGAGGAGAAAATTTAGAACAAAGTTAATTTTGCTTTTGACGAAAACTTAAATTTAATACTTAATGCTATCAATGGTTTGAAATGTAATAGTATTTTCAAACTCATCGTCAAACCACAACAGTTTCAGAAGCAAAAAATCCTGTTTTATATTATGACCTGCTATCGTCAAAAGCAAATTTCCACAGCATGAATCAATGGCTTTGTGATAATTTTGCAATCAGATCACTCAGATCTAATTCAAGCTTCCTGATTTATCTGTTTTGAAATCCTTAACCTTTACTAAGCGATTTCCCAGCACAAAAGTAAATTTCCAAACTTGAGAAAAAACAAAGTAACCTGGGGTTTAAACTTGAAAACTTGTTTTATTCCTGAAAGGTATTTTTTCGTTAGAATCTATGTATTTTTTATATATCTAAAATAATAAAAAGCCTTAACATTATAAGCAAAATGCAACTAAATGAAACATGAGAATTCATTGCAGCCGTGTAGCCTCAACACGACAAGTGATAAATTAACATAATTTTATATAATAATTAGCATATTACTAAAGCATAATTTGCACATGACAAAAAAGAAAAAGAGAATAATACAGAGTTGTGAGGAAGAGAAGAAATTCCATCGACTTGTTTCAAAAAGTATCTTTGATAATTCAATAAACTGTAGTGTTGCTTTGATGATTTTTTTACATTGATTCTCTATTTCTGCCAATCATCAATGTTTTTTACGTTTTTGACAGCTTCTGAGTAAACAAAGCATTTGTCATAGTTTGAAGGAGCTATCAGAATTAAATATTGATAAGGAAAAATATTTACCAAGAATCGATGATACCTTTTATGGAATTGTACGTCCTAGCGAATATCGTAGCATACATTATTGTTTGCTAGAATTCAAATTGATGGTATTACCCTGTTATTGCAACTCAGTCTGGCTGATGCTTCGCTTAACGATAATAAGTATTTCTTATTTTTCTTAATTTTTTATGATTTGGTAAGCAGACCTAAACTTACAAAACAACATGGCAGATTTGTACCAGTTATGTCTGCTAACAGGTCTATACATTTCCCGAACGAACTAGTTTGAATTTCAATTTTTTGTGATAAGGAAATTCCTTCAGAGAGTCAAAGGAATGTAACAAATTAAACCAGGAAGCATTTTAGCACACTATGTTGACAAATTACTTGGATAAGAGTTACATATTCCAGTCTTGTACGTCCTAGTGCCATTCTTGCCTTTATTTTGAATATCTATAGTATTAAATCCTGATCACAAGCTTTGTTATATTTTAGCTCCAAAAGATGGATTCTGCGTCGAGGAGTCTTCAGACTGAGATTTCGGAATTGAGAAACAATTCTTCTCTAATGGTAACAATTTATATCACCTATCATTTTTGGAAAGCTCACTTGAACACTCCTAGGTTCACAGAATTTTATTTTTTTGGAGGTGTTGTTGCGTATCACCCTATGGTAATTTTCAGGACACACCGAAGCCATACTTACGCCCCTCCTCGTGATTCCAAAGTCCAGGAATTACAGACTGCTCACCATCTCCCCTCTCTTTGTGAAAGTTTGATCATTGAACTGTTATATCTGTAGTCCGCTACACCAACCACTACCTAAGTGTCACGTTGATTTCAAACCTAGGATTTGCAGGGAACAGTTTCTAGAAGTCTTTTTATAGCAAAGCAGCGTTTATGGATTTTAGTTAGCATATTAAAGCAATTTGCTTAGTTCTTATTTGTCATACTGTTCGTTATTCGTAGTTGTGTTGCTTTCATATTCAAAGAATGTAATATAATTTTTGTGGCAGGAAACCAACGTGGATAGTGAAAAGCAAGAACTTCTAACAGCAATCGAAAAATTACAAGAGCATTTAGACCGCCAGGTAGAGTTACCGTTATTTATTTGAACGAAAATGAGTTTGATGAATGCTTGGTGTCAAAATTGTGGAAAATTTCATGAATGGTGATAAAAGTTTCTAGGAAAAAGTAACTTAGAACTTAAGATGTCCTCCTATGGAACGCAAAATTTTGTCCTGATTTATAAAAATCTGGAAGTAAATTGTTAAGATGTGAAGGAGATAGAGCAACGCATGGGTTGAACAGAACAGAACGATAACTTTATATTAACTTCAAACGGCCTACACACATAACTGTAATATTGTAAACTGTAATCTGAAACTCTATATAAACTTGGGTCACATGAAGTAATGCATAGTCTATTAGGTTACTACATAAATTATTAGAGCCAATGTGATTTGAGGAGTTGAAAAATCGAAAAATTAAAGAGAGCATGCTGTTTTCTATGCAACTTGGAAGTAAAATCATGGGTGCATTGTTTGAGACAAGGGATTTTAAGTGTCGACAAAATGGGTCATGTTCTTGACCATACAGTCAAAGGGCTAGCACAGTCAACGGAAGGTAATTGTGCACACTCCATGTCTGTATGTATGGAGGTGGCCCCGTCTTTCGCTCCCAGACAGGTGCAGCATTATTTTAGCCCTATACCTATTTAGAATTGTATAAGTGTGATAATTTTGGTAAAATATAGCATAGAAGGTGGTGTCAGTTGAAATGAATGAAAGATTTACGCGACCCATGAAAGTTCTTTCTTAATTTGATAGATTGGTAAAATTCCTTAGGTAGGGTGAAGGGTGAATTCATTCTATCAGATGGATATATTATTTCTACAATTTCCAAATATTTCTCTTCTTAATGCTGAGTAGTGTCGGTTTGCCTATGTTTCGTCCAAAACTATTCCCGATTTTTTCTAGTAATTGTACTTCCTAAGAAGAGACCGAATGATATCTTAACAAAGACATTTCTCTTTTATATGTCTTGCACAGAAACTAAATGTATCATTTTCAGGCCCTTTTAGTCGCCCTTTTAGTCGCCCTTTTAGTCGCCCTTTTAGTCGCCCTTTTAGTCGCCTTTTGAAGGGATTTTTAAGGTATACGATGTAAAGTAAAACGTTCAGTTCTTCCATAAAGATCTTATAAGTGCTGTCTTAACAACTGGCCAATTTGGCCACGATGCTGTCTTTTTACTCCAGTCTAAAGCCCTGGCCAAACGAATAAAACATCGGCACAAAACATCATCAAACATTGTTGCATAAAACATATTTTATTCGTTCGGCCACCATGTTTTACGATCTTTTATGATGATTTCCATCAAACATTTTGCAAAACATTTCTTTTGTTCTCATGTTTGATCAACAATGTTGCGTTCGTTTAGCCACCCCTTAAAACATTTGTTTTACTAACGCAAGCGCAGCAGATTAAAATTTGGCAAATGCAACGCAGTAACTGTAGGAAGCTGTGCGGCAACGCTTGACCATCACAGATGTTTTAACATTTGTTTGATTCGTTTGGCCAGGTCATAAAACATCGTCCAACATTGTTGGTACAAAAATGTTTGACAATGTTTTACGGATGTTTTATTCATTTGGCCGGGCCTAAAGAGGCAGTTTGTTCGTCATCAAAGTCACACTTGTTTTAATTTAGACAAAAACTTGTATTGTGGTATTGATTTTCAGAAAACTTTCCTTCTTGTTCAATTCGCTCAGTAAGTTTTGTCAGGGTGTACCATAACGTTGAGGATTACCATAACTCAATACGAAGAGTTAAAACCTGACGGTATTTCGTTTTATGCAGATTCAACAGAACGAGAAACTCAGACATCTGGAAGGGCAGTTAGCGCTAACAGATAAATTGCACACGGAGCTACAGTCTGCACAGGTAAATGATACTGATCTTATCTTTTTTAACTTTGCTATCAAAATCGCTATCAAAATTTGAACATGGTTCTGAGTCTCCTTACAACTGCAGCTCTCCAGTATCAGTTTCGATGCTTTTAAAAACCAACGACCAATGGATTTTACCTAATGTAAAGGATATGGATCTAATTCTTTATAACTGCAATGAGCAATCGCCTGTTAATTAGGTAATAATTTGCATGTCGTGTCAGTGTTTAATGCGTTTATACGTTTTCTACACAATATGCTCCAGAAAACCTAATATGTTCCAACAAGTTTTTATAAAGTTCGAGAAATGTGTCCGTTTTCCTCCTTGGCATTAGAATCTGTTCACTCCTAGTTGTTGATTAGAATTTTATGACGGGCCTAGACAGTCATCTACATCTAAACATATATTTTCTTGCTGTCTGAGACGCTATTACGAAGCCTAAAAATCTTAGTATACAAAATAATTGCGCGGTGTTTTATCTGGTGGGGGTTGAAAATGGCGTTTACCATAAAATGGAATGTTTTTGGTTATTCTCTTCTTCCGAGAGAACTTTTATCAGTTGAAACTGAGTACCGTAATCATCATTGAATCTTATTACATTTTTGAAGGACACTATCAACTTATTGTCGATACAAAATGGACAGCTGCGAGAGCAACTACGAAGCAACGTATACATTACTAACCAAGGTAAATGATGCTGTTTTTCATTCGTACAGAATTTGAACAAAAGAGGAAAGATTAATTTTTATAGATGATTCGATTTTTACTTAGGTTTTTGTTATTAACTTGGTGTGTTGAGTAGAATTGTTTAAATGGCTGATTGCACGCGGTTCGAGTATATCTAAACGCATTTAAAGTGTACAATGTTTTATATTGATAATCTTCAACCATTGGAACAGTTATGCCAAGGTAACCTTTATAAGAACTTAAAAAACTTTCGCCTGTTTTTCTAGCCTGCATATGTTTATATTTTAGCTATTTGATCAATGTTTAGAAGACGTCATAGAATTTCTACCGAATGATGAAATGAGATGCGGTGAAATACCTCTAAATGTAAAAAAAAGGCAAGGCCTGGGTTTCACTAAGGGATCACTGTTGTTTTGGCCTGGCTCATAAGGTTTCAAATCAAGGCCTAATCACAGTGATTTGATATGGAGAGCCTCTTTTTAGTCGGTGATGTTAAGGAAAGGCCCATGAGCCAATAACAAAGCTTTAACAAGGAGAAGGAAGGAGTAATTTGAAAGAAATCAGTCTTGTTTAGGCCAGGTTGTTGAATTTTGAATAAGGATAGGTTACAGGAGTCTGGGGAGAAGAAAGCCATATTTTATGTGGCCATATTTCAAGTTATCTGTAACAATCTGTTCTCACTGATTTTGCATTTAGGGGTATTTTGTACTGCTCTTTTTGGTTGTGTTTTTTGAATTCAAAAAATACCTGTTGCTTGAATTTCGCCACTTTCCACTCTTTTATCATTGCTATTATAATTACTTTTTATAACATCAGTTTCGTTTCTACCATATTAATAGAGAGTGTCTTTGTAAAATAGCTATGATTGTGTTTTGGTTATGTTTGAGGTGGCCTTTCTGAATCCTTCTGTCTTGAATACAGTATAATACTTTCCAATTAACCTTTTATTTCAGATGACGTCGACTCTGGGATGGACCCAAGGCGACAAAATGGTTATGATCATGATCATAACGCAGATGGTGGTGATTCGCATTTGGATGACCATGACCATTCTGATGTGGATGATCATGATACACAGAGCAACGAAGAGAGCTCGGAGGAAGTCGATCACGACTCATATGGCCAGCAAAATGATTCAATCACCCAGGAAGTGGTATGCTAAAGTACTGAAAAACCGTCTGAAAAATCGTCTGAAAAATCGTCTGATTTACGTGAATTTGTAGATGAGAACAGGGCAACCGAAAGCAAGGCTAGGCCCTAGAGCATGCCTAATGCTTAGGCCCCTACCTGCCAAAGGCAATAGGGTAGAATTCTCCACATTTGACCTAAAGTGTGATGATTATAAGTGGAAGAATCTTGCTAATGGTAAAAAACTATTTCAACATGGAAACCTACAAGCCTTAAATCAGCGATTTTTAACCACTGCGTCGCAGCAAACATGTATCATGAAAGATTTCTATTTGTGCCTAGGGGCCTATAAAACCATATCTAAAATGAAATTGATTATCTTTTCTATTTCATTTGCCATCGCTTAATTTCTATTTTGTAAAAGTAATCGTCTATGCACTGTGTAAGTTTTAACAACGCCTGAGTTTTCTTTATCAGGCTGTGCATGTCATTTTGTAGGGTATTTGGTGGGACGTTTTTCGATGATGTTTTTAATGTGCTGTGGGCCAGAAAAGGGGGAAGAATAAAACCCTAATTTATTTGTCCTGTTATTATTGTTTAGATTAGTAGAAAATCTTAGCAAATTCTCAGTTTAACTTTATGGCCATCAAGTGCTTTGCTTAACGATAGTCGACAGATGAATCAAAAAGTGACCAATCAGTGACTGTGATTCCACTTACATGCTCATTGATTGGCTAATATTGATTCGCAGATGGCTTAAACCACTTTTATATCTGTCAATTGCCTAAATATTTTTCTATTTTTCATGTTTCTAACTTCAGGCGGTTGAGTATTAAACGTTTAAGAAAGAAAAACTTTTGGCCTGCCTCCAGCCTCACGCTAAGGAATTTCGCTGATTTTTTCGTTTTTTGTTGTGTCCACATGGCTATTTCGCTTAGAACATCTTACAGATTACTGTTTATATTTATTTTCCAGTTATACTCATATCGCAATGCCATTGGACAACTGGAAGCAGACCGTGATGAGCTCTACGAATTACTTCAGAAGGAGCGCCAGGATTCTGCGGAAGAGACGCAAAAAATCAAAGATCACATGGAGATGCAACTGCAACAACAGTTGAAGCAGCAACTACGCCATGTGCAGGAGCATTACCACCAACAAATCCATGAGCAGCAATTGCAAATAAATAAACTACAAGAAACCATTGATGACCACAAGAGGCAGGAAAACATTATTCAAGCTGATGTTAATGACAATGGGATCAACTTCGACACCTTAAAAATCGCGTTTCACCAACTTCAGGTAGACTGATACTTTCTTCCGTTTTTTTCTACATGATTCCAGTTTTACTTTCAGCTTTACTTACTAACTTTCAGCTTTACAAACTACTTACAGTTAATAGCTTCAGTGTGTTTCAACATGTTTGCTCTTTTCAAAGCCATTTTCAAGTTCTGTACCGCCAAAAAATTGTTCAGATTATAAAGTGTTATTTGTACACGGGTCGAGGTGACAAATATGTAATAGAGTTTTTAAGAAAAATGTTCGTTGCACTTTGTCAAATACTCACATTTGTTATCTGTATTCATCGTCTGATAATCCATAATTGATGGTCAGCGCTCATTTGTTTTAATCCGAGTTAATAATTTTTTTCAGAATCGATTCAAATCACTTTTGGATGAGAAAATAGCTTTATCAGACAAACTTCAAGAGATGGAGCATAGCAACTTCCAGCTTGCGTCTGAAACTGAAACCATCGGTAATTTCTTAGTTATGCCTTATAAATACGTATAAACCTTGTGTAAACCTATATTTTGTATAAACCCTGTGAGTACCATCGTGTACACGAAACATTTATTCGATATTTAGTTTGTCACAACACATTTTAAGCCTCTTTCAGACTTTCCCTAGTTGTATGTGAAAAGCACATTGCCTTTCATCCAATATCGTTTTGCCAAACCACTGTTTAGTTTTTGCTTTTGCTGCTAAATCGAACCGTTTAAATGTATGGTGCTTACTCTAGGTGTTAACAGTTCGCAACCTTGTTTCGTGCAGTTTGCCTTTGTTTTCGTTTCTGATTATTACGAAATAAGTTTCACTCTTATCCTTTGTGCAGGTGAATACATAAATCTCTATAGAACACAAAGATTGGCTTTGAAGGATAAATTTTTAGAGAAAGATCGTTTGATCTCTCAGTTATCAAATGAGCACAGCCGAATGCAGGTTTGTTTTTTTTGTATTGGTTATGTGTTATTATTTTATCTGTTAATAATAAGATGTTGTTCTAATGATGAAGCTATTATATTACTGTTTTTTAAAACAATGTACATTTAGTTTTTCTCTCAAACTGCAGACCTCTTTGTTATTCATTTCGTACTATGTACTATGAACACTTTTCCAGACTTTTTGCTTTATTTGAAAAATATATTAAATATATTCCCAGAGACCGATAGATATCTTCCTTTATGGAAATATAAAAGATTTTGTTGATACATCTTGCAAAGATCAATCAAGTAGATACAGCTGGGGGAGAGGAGGGGTTGAATCAACAGCCATAAGTTGGGGATTCTGTTTAAGATGGTATCCTCACCCTTGGAGTTGAAATTTCCGAGCGAAATAAAGTGCCATTAAATTGTTTCATTTATTTAGTTTCCACTATTCGCTATGTTAATGTTCTGCAATTTTTGCAACAACTGTATACTTTAAGTCTGATGCTGTGTGGTATATATTTATGTATAACATCTTTTTAAAAGTTTTTATTGTGGTTTAATTTTTTCAAGTTGCAGTGTTTTGTTACTTTTCTTGATGATATCAGGATAAGAAGATTGCATTCATCAATATCTACTTATATTACAACTCTCATGTTGTCTCTTTACAGTCGAAGATTTCGCATCTTCAAGAACTTGTTATGCAAACTTTGGCTGAGAAATCTAGAATAGAAGAAGAAAAGGTACAGCTACAAGAGCTCGTAAACAAAAGACTTGCAATACAATCTGGCGAAGAGCGAGAAACTGAAATCCCTAAATTTGATCTATCGAACAATTCTCTATACGATGAGACCATATCTTTCCCATCAAACGACGAGGATCATTCGAAACACATAGCGGGAAGGAGAGAAAGGACAGAAAGCGAAACAAGTGGTTTTAGTGATGGTAAAAGACAGCAAATTATGCAGTTATTTGAACAATTAAACGACACTGGGGAGGGGTATCAAAGGGGGTGGCTGTCGCCTGCTGTCAGGCGAAAGGAGTTTACTCCATGCAAACATTGTGGGGGTAGGACAATTAATTTATAGGGTCGGGCATTATTGCCCATGGCTAGGTGGTATTCAGGCTGTACATGGTTGGTTTTTATTAACAAGCTTTCTGTATTAGTATTTGTATTCATAAGCAGTTTTGTGGAGTATATCTTCAAGATGGTGATTATTTTTGTTAATAAAATGGAAGCGGAAAGTTAAACGAACACCTAGGCACTGAAAAATGCTCGAGTATAATGACATTTTATACGCATTTGCATCGGTCATACAGAATGCCCAGCCTGGATATCTCCTGTCCAATCATACCGTATTCTGAGGCAACTAGAATTTTTGGCAAATTGCTTAACAATAAACAGAGGTATAGAGGCAAACTTTGTATTTCTACTGGAAAATATCAGGTTCAGTACTTGATACTCTGCACAAAAGGTGAATTGCCTTTGCAATATCTGGGTATTAGACTGCAATATTTGGCAATACCTGGGTATTTTACTAGTTAATAATTGAGTATTTAGAAATGCTATGTACCAGGTTAATTTACTAGCTAATAATTGAGTATTGTACTTGGTAATAACTGGGTATTTCACTGGTTAATACCTGAGTATTTAAAAATGTTATGTACCTAGGTATTGTACTTGGCAATACCTAGGTATTTTTCTGGTAATACCTTGGCTATTTTTAATAGATTTCAGGATAACATCTCATTCAGGTAGTATAGGATAGGCAAGCATATCTTGACTAAACGAAAAGACATCAGAACGTCATGAAGTTATAGAAAAAGTTGCCAAAAATTCTAGTTGCCTTCTTAATGAATTTTAAAATTGTGCTATTATTGAATGGCAATGTATTGTTTGCTATGCAGAGAATGATATTTACATTAGCAAATTATTAGATTGGTAGAGACTTTGATGTACTATTCTTAAAAAATCACTCAAAAAGCTATCGAATTTACACGTGGGTTTCTCTTCTGTGCTTTCTAGCTTTCGTCTTGTGATCTTCTTCAGGAATATTTTCTTGATGCAAGCATATTTTTGCTACTGCATCATTTGCTACGGTGACACACGGTGCAAAACTAACATCAGAATACACCAAAAGAGGTTTTTTTAACATTGCACCACATAACATAACATTTCTGTGATTGCACACTGTACAATGTCCAATTGCTTGGAATGATATCCCACAATGCATTAAAGGTATCGATTTCAAAAAGAACAAAGGTCTCATCTTTTGAGCTAACAGAAATCAGCTCACGCCCAATCCACAGAAGATCAGGCAATTTATATTTTTAAACTCCGACTGACTTTAAAGCCTGGTTTCCATATAGCTTTAAGGCCATTTAATTTTAATGCATCGGTGATACGTTGGCGATGCATCGCCGATGATTCTCTTCAGCCTGGCTTCCATATAACTCTTACGTGTCGCTGTCAGCCTGATTTCAAAATACAAATTTCGAAGCCTGATTTGACCTCACTCCCAAAGGCTAATAGCTTGATATATTGATAACACTAAAACACGGAACCATTGGCTGATTAAAATATTTCACTAAAGTTCTACAGCCACATAGAGACTCACTGAGAAGATCATTTGCTGTTGCCTTTATTATAAAGAGAAGGTTAAGAAAATTGACTTTAAATTATTTGGTGAACTTGCAATTGAAAGAATGAGCTGGTCTACCCTGGGTACCAGACTCTCTATTTTATTTTATATATAGTGAGTCTGGTACCCAGGGTAGAGCTGGTCATACCAGTGTATTTGACAGGAAGGATTATGACGTCATAAAACGATGATAACGTCATGCAAAAACATTTAGAAGTAAAAAAAATAGTAATTCTTTACATTCCTAAAAAGCACTGAGCATATGTGATATGCAAATATGGAGCTAGGTTTACAAAAATAGTTGCGATAAAACAATTGATGCTGTTCAAAGCGAATTTTCCTAAGTTGATGACGTCATCAAAAAATTTGACTTTTTGAAAATATTTTCCATTCAATCTTGGATTTTAAATCTGCATAGTTTATTTAGTTTAAAATACAATAAAAATGGAGGTCACTTCTTTGGCTGGTTTTCAAAAGACTTTTATCAATTTTTGATGTTGTCATCATAAACAAGCAACTTCAGGTGTAAATTTTTTTGGCCCATCTTGGATTTGAAATCTCCATGGTCATGGTATGTGAAATAATATTTGAGGTTAGGCAGTTTGCTAGTTTTTTCTACAAAACTCCCTGTCTATTAACCATTCTCAGCGATGCGTAGGTATCCCTTGTAGTAATTTCGTGTTTTACACAGCCTGCGCGCAGACACAGAAATTTAAAAGAGGAGAGAAAGTAGAGTCTGCGCAACAGAGCCGCTTTTCTTGTTCGCTGACATCAAAATTTTATTCTAAGCACTAGAACAACAACTCCATTAGCGTGCAATGTTTTTCTGTAATTTTATTTGTTCAAAAGAACAAACGACCTATTCTACTATCCTGATACCATTCATTTATACTTCTGCTCGAAGGCGCCACTTTGAAAACTGAAAAAAGCAATTGAAATTCCCCCAACAAATCAAATTCGGTTCCTTGGTTTTGAGGAACCTGTGAACAAGAAAATCGGCTCGGCTTCACAGACTCTACTTTCTCTCCTATTTTCAATTTTGACAACAGAGTCGGAATGCAGGCTAGTATTACAGGGCTTTTTGAAAGGTCGTGTTCATTTGTGATAATTGGCCTAGTTCTTCAGGAGATAATGGCTTTTGTACAAGTTTCCGGACTTTCGCTATAGTACAATTGTTTGCATCGGAAATTCCTTTGCTTTGCAGTATTTCGTGCTTAAAAATGTCAATTTTCTTCCCTGTGAAGAAAGTAACGTCCCAAAGAGAGGATGGCATCTGTATTTTTTTATGTTGGTTTGCATAATCTTTGTTGTTTTTGTCTTGTTCTGAGTTCTGAGTGTTGAGAGAGACGAGGCCTTAATGTTTAGACCGCGGGCACCCAATGTTAATGTTACGGTCTGAGGTCAGACAGACCTTTGGTCTATCCCTCTAGCATTGTCCAATCATTGTAAGATTCTATATCACGTGGTGATCCCTTGCTGGTCTGTTCCTTGCATTTAGCCAATCAATTTCGAAATTGAAGTCACGTGACAGAAGTACCTCATATTCTCCTCGCAAAAATTGCAAGCGTATTGCTTCATGACAAAGCAAAATGGCGGAGTCACGAGAGCATCTTCATTGCTAATTACCTGTGCCGTTCGTTGCCATGGGCGAATAGATGGCATGTCATGTAGAAGAAAAGAGCAGTGCTCGCTCTTTTAGTATATTTGTTGTGCCCAGACTGAAAGATCTTCGAAACTTGCTTTCCTGGAACGATATGTGTGCCGCCGTTGCCTGTCTGAGTTTTTAGCCCAAAGCACAACGACGGCTTTCAAAAAAAGAAACAAGTTATGAACAACATGAAAGCCGTATTATTTACATTTGCTGGGACATTTATGTTGCTTGTTTTGAACCTTTGGTAAGTTTGTAGTTATGACAAGTCAATTGTCTTCACTAAATTTTTGAATTTATTTTAGGGCCAACCAACTTTACTGATGTGTAGACTTAGTTTGGCTTCCCGCTGAAATTCTCCTTTTACTTGCCAACAGAATTCCTGCCTTCAAGGATGCAATATTCAAATTCGAATAAATCGAATTGGCAATTTGTATCAATATGTTTGGTAGGCCTGGCCAAATAAATAGAGGAAGTCGAACCCTCTTCCAGGCTTGGCTGTTTTCAAAGCTCGTATATGTACTGAATTTGTAAAGTTTGATAATGTGTATTCTCAGAGCTTATGCTACTGGTGAAATAAAATGATCAATTTTTCTCTCAGTTTTTCTATTTTGAAAAGGTGCTTCTCTTTTTAGGCCTTTTACAATCAATTTCAAATGATTGAAAGTTAACTGCTGTTTATAAGCTGCCCTTTATTCGTGCAAACAATATTTAGCAAACAGTGATGATAATTGCCTAGTTGCACCTAGTGACTTTTCAATTGACCCTGTTGAAATGAATAAAAACGCTAGGCATTTTATTGTTAAACTGATAATATTTTATAGTGGTTTTTCCTGTGTTATTGTTTGATTGCAAATTGTTGATTTCGCAGTTCGCTTTTTGTGCCTCATTCATAGTTTCCAGTCTTTTTTTAAAGATGAGCCATGTATTTTTCATGGTTTTGAAAAATTCTGTTTGACATTCTGCATTTTTCTTCCAAACTATTGTTCCCAAGATTTTCCCCCACCAGACCATTGAGATGGAGATATGGTCATAGTGTCACATAATAACAAGAAATTGTGAAAATGTCTGATTTATTTATACGAATACAATTTTTCCAGCTTCAGTATCCTTAAAATAATTTTTTTAAGTTTTTTAATTTAAAATTTTTTTAAATTTTGGGTCTGAATATTTCCTATAGTATTCTTATTTTTTCAATTCTGATTTGGTTGCAGGGAACATTGCCTACCCTCAAATAAAAACCATGCTTTTTGAAAAAAACAATAAACATCAACCATGCTCTTCTTTGTTCTGAGCATCACAAAACAGGCAACTGCTGAAAGTGATGCACAAATATGCAAGCTGAGGCTGAGCAAATTGGTATACAATTTTTAAAAATTGGATAAATTTGAGCCTCAATATTCCTATAAAAAAGAGTGTATCTTCTAATGTAATCTGAGGACTTTTTGTGTTACAATAGTATGAAGGTATGCAATGCCTGTTTTATTTTCTGTTTATTTGTAGCAAGTTTAATGCAGAAGAGAACATTTTGCCGGTTGCTGAGAAAGAGAATGCAAAGAATGAGACAAGTAAAAGTCCAAAGGTTGGTTCTGAAAAGTAATATGTTAGCAAACGCTGAATGTGCTATAAAAGAACTTTGTTTTGATGTTTTCATGCCAAACAGATTTCAATGACAACAATAATGGGGGAGTTTTTGGCTATTTGATCAGCTAGGCAGCTGTGTTTACAACAAAAGTCATCAATTGCTTCTCGATTATTTGTATGCTTCTCTTGAAATACCTTCAATTGATATTGAAAGTTCAAAGTCAAAGTTTTTGATAAGCAGTGTCTGCTTTCTGGGAGTAAGATCATGTCTGCTGTATTTTGTCAAATTATTGTAGAAACTTGGAGCTAAAAATGGAGCTAAGATATAAACTTAAATGATCAATTTCCACATCACAGAAAGCAGGATAAAGTTATGGCCTTAGTACCTTCATGGTAGTCATGCTATTTTGAGTTTTATGTTAGAAATTGGAGATTTTTAGATAATTTTAGCAAGACTTATAATCTTTGCTAAATGATCCTATGACTGTTGCAGTCCTTTTCGTGAGCAAAATTACGCGTGTGTGGCAAATCGCACATGTTAGCAAATTTGCGCGTGCGATCGCACTTGTAAGAAAATTTGAAGTACAAACCTGATAAAATTGGTAAAAGGAGCAAGAAGAAAAAAGCCACTCGAATACGTGCAAGAGCAAAACTCAAAATTAATCAATACATAACAGATGTTGTTGCCCTTAGCAGCCATCTTTTAAAAGTCGTCGTCACTCTCCAAAGTTACAAGAGCAAGTAAAAATTGTTTCCAACAGCTACTTGCTTTCAGGCCTAATTACGTTTTGACAGGAAATCAGTTATTACACTTAACATGCTAATGGCGACTTAGCTGAAAGACGAGACGCTAAGTTCAATGGAGCACTCAGTCAAAAGCCAAACATCACTTCCGAAAATTGGAAAAATCATATTGTGGTCAAAAGTGCGAATCAAGTAACAAGGGAAAGGATAAACAATCATGAGACCATGGGAAATTGATGTTAAAGGGCCTCTCCAGCAAAAAAAAAATTTTTTTTAATGACTTAAAAGTTAGCATCTGGTGCGTGTATTATGACAAAGTCATTGTTTTTGAAAAATTCCAATTAGTTTAGAAGTTGTAAGGCCTTACAGTTGCACCTTTCCGAGAAAAAAAACGACAAAAGCCGAATCAGTTTGGTGACATTCTGGCGTCACAATGTGCGGCTCTCGTTCGCCATGAATTTCGTATATCTTCCACCGAAGCGTGAAGGACTCATGGTCACGCGTTGATAACTGCATCCAGTTCCAGTTCCTGTTCCAGCTCTTCCCTCGCGTATAATTAATCGAAATTGTCACTTCAGTTGTTCTCCAGAAACGATGAACAACTAAAGGCTTCAGAATTGGTGTCTGAAATGCTCAAACTAAAAGCTGGTGGAACAGAACTGAGAGTACCATCACTTGCAGTGTTCAATTTGCGAATCGCCGTCGTTCGATTCGGTTTGAGGCGAGACTATCCGAAATACACTGTGACGTCAAAATTGCGTCACAGTGTCACCAAACCAAAAATTTTTGTCGGTTAATTCAATTAAATTATCGAAATGCAAGAGCTTATATCTCACAAACTGTAAAAAAATATCGAAAAACAAATAACGAATTCGTAATCGGCAGGCTCAACTTCTTTATAAAAATTGCCAATAAAATGCAAGTGCAAAATTTGGCTGGAGAGGCCCTTTAACAGAAAACTGCAAAAACACCTGTTTGCGCGTGTGGTCAAAAGCACGCGCAATTTAACTTGCGCGTGTGCAGGCGTGTGCGGGTGCGATCGCACGCGCTAAACGAAAAGGACTGCTGTTGATCTACACAACTATGACATAAGAAGGGCATTATAAGTAGTTGATTAATAGCTTTTTAATGTCATTTAGACCAGTCATCATCAGAATTCCATTTTATTGCTGATATTCTTGATTTGTATGTTTTAGAATGACACAAAAGTTCAGCAGCAAGATGCCCCAAATGATAATGGTCCAGAAGAGGAAATTGGTAGAGAGGAAAACATTGTTCTACCCACAGTTGCCCCAGCAACACCTGTACCATCATCTTTCATATTGATTTCAACATCAGATAGCTTACATTCTGTTTTGCAAACTATAAAACAAAAATCAGATGAAAAAGAAGAACCTAGCATCATACAGGAAGACGATTCTCAGAATTCAAGGTATGCAGTATCGCAGGTCTTACATTTGAAAAGTTGGTATAATGAATAGAATAGGGTTGCAGATGTAACGAGCTTCAGTTCGCTTGGCGGGAGACGATGACTCAGGAAGAGAATCTGTTCAAGTTTCATGACTTTATGATTAATGGACTCTGACTACAATTCCCTACAAATCTACTAATCATAGGTTATATACAAGTTACACTTGACCAATTATGCTTGATATGTGATTGGCAGTTTGATTACAATTATTCGGTAAAAGCATTTGAAGATGTTTCACTGATGTTATTGTCTTTCAAAAACAAGGTGAACTTGCAAACGAAAACGGGTTGATTTTCCTTAAAACAATTTTGTGACAAACCCAGATATTGGAAACGAACATTTTGTAAATTAAAAGACTCAATACAATTAGAGCTAAAATCTAGATTTCTGCAGTTTGTTTTTACGTTATCTTATTATATGATTACAAGGGGCTGGTTGGAAAAAATTTCTGCCTTTTTTCTCTGAAACCTCTTGGCTGTCCTGATGATGAAAACTTTGTTTTTAAAAAAGATAAAAATTGATTCTAATAAGACCTCCCAATCCGCTGTTTTGAATGTGATTTTCACAATAGGAATGCTACTGAATACAATCTAGACATGATTTCGGTATAGCTAATGAGAATGCAGCATGTGTGTTTGTACTTGCCTTGCCATTTGGAAAGAAATTATCCGCATGCATGAAATATGTCATTATATGCAACCCTGTTATGATTATGTTTAGCTTAACTCTTAGGCGAAAAATTATTTGTTTTATGAAATTTTGCTATATGTTTGTGAATTATAAGGCAACATTGTTTTTATTTTTATCCATCCCTGGATCACCTATGATAGTTAGTTTCAAAGAGTTTTAGCTAGTTTTATTATAATTTTTGATATGATAAAATTATTAAAGCAGTTATGCATCTGATAATTTTAGGATTCAGAAAGAAAGCCAAGTTGATGAGGTTGAATTTGATACATCTGGATCAGATCTGGCTTCACAGCAGGTTTCTTCTCAACATGAAACAAATCAGAAAACTGAAACACCCCAAGTAGAACCAAAGGATCCCATGGCTGAGCAGTCTGTTGACATAATGAAGTATAATGTTGATCCAGGAAAGGAAGATGGTGACATCGAAACCAAAGATCCTGTAGAGGTCAACAGGGAACAAGAAACTAAAGAAAGTAAAGAAAGGGTTGTTGAAAACATTACTGAAGCAGCCAAGGATGTTACAAGAAGTACCAACAGTGCTGATCAGTTAAAAGGAAGCTTAGAGACTGAAGCATCAGAGAAAGGAATTTTAGAATCATTTAAAGACTGGAAAGAAAAACTAGAGACAAATGAGAAAAAAGTAATTGCAGAAAATGTAGTCACAAAACCAATAACAAAGAAAAGAACTTCCAAAAAAACAAATTATGCCTCATATGAGTGTGGAGCTAAAGTTATTGCATCAAATAACGAGGCAGAGAACATTGGAGCAATATTAAATGAAAACAGAGATCTATATATGCTGAACCCATGTAGCTGTAGTATTTGGTTTGTGATTGAACTTTGTGAAAAAGTCAGAGCAGAAACAATCGATGTTGCAAATTTTGAGCTGTTTTCATCCTCTCCTGAAAAATTCAATGTTTATTTTAGTACCAGATATCCTACAAGGGAGTGGGAGTTTGGTGGAAATTTTAATGGCAAAGCAGAAAAGACTATTCAAAGCTTTCACATGACAGAAGAGTTCTATGCAAAATTTGTCAAGGTTGGTTTTATATTTTAACATAATACCTTTTTTATAAGAACACATTTTGTGAGGGCACAGAGGCTCAATTTGCCAACAATAACAGGATAAGAACATGTCCATCTTCAGATGGAAAATTGAAAGAATTGTAATGTTTTTTCAAAAGTTTTTCCTGTGTTTACAAAGTAGAGCAGATTTATTAGGCTGATAAACTATACTCTCAAAAATGCCATGCATCTATAGCTGTTATTTTGTTTTCTGAGAATCAGTTTTTGGTTTGTGGTCGTAGAAATATCAGTGTGAAAATAAGAGCAGCTTTAAGAGCACCAGAGCTTCAACTTGTCTAAAAATACAACCATCAAGCCTTGGCAAAAATTATGAGCAATCGTTTTTATTTTTGATTGAAGAACTGTAGAATAAGTCTGCTTTTCAAAAATTTTTAATTTCTTGCTTTCTTGAATTTTTTAGACTTGCCATATGTCTCATCTTAAAATCTCAACAGCTCACACACATTGTATATGATTTGGTCCATTGAAGTGATGCCTCTATTTGGCAAAAATAATAGTTTCTTCATCTTTACTATACCAAAATTTTTCAGTCTTGTGTCACACAGTCTGTTTCATCTAAACCTCCTACCTATTGGTAGAGTACAAGCCCCCCTCCCCTGGAGTGAGGCTTTGCTCTGCCAGATAGTTTATAGGTTGTTTCGTAATTATTCTCCCTTTTAAAGAAAGTAAGCATCTTACATATGGCACTTATAAGTCAACAAATGCATATACCTACACGTTTTGGTTTATAAAGGGTGACGGTTCAAAGTTGCATCTGTAGGTTTCCCGCAAGAGATTCCATCACCAGGCAACTGGCAACGTCATTAGGCATAAAGCTCGGAGTTGCAACTTAAAACCGTCCTGTTCTTTACACAAAAGAGTGTCAGCTATGCCTATAAGGCATAGATCACTTGATGCCAATAAAGTAATTTCATTAATGCACTTGTTTAGATAGCGAGTATTTAACTACCAATATTTAATCAGAAATTTTTAAATTTTCTAGATCGAGATGGTTAGTCACTTTGGCAAGGAACATTACTGTCCATTGAGTTTGGTGAGACTCTTTGGAAGGAGCGAAGTTGAAGAGTTAGATGATTCTGAAGACACTTCTCATGATCACGATGGGAGTACTGAGGATGCAGAGTCAAATGGAAATAAAAACGGGGAGCTCCCGAATGGGGTAAAAGGAGGGGAAAAGAATTTTTTGAAAAGTGCAACTGATATGGTAATTGGCCTTGTAAATAAAGCAACGAAGAGTTTTACTGGTGTCGATGAAAAAAAGCTTAGCAATAGTACTGTTAATGGTGAAAGGAATGCAACAGAACAAGATGCTGAGAATAAAACTATTGAAGGGGAGAATGCAGATGCAACAGAAAGGCCAACAGTTATTCAAATTGTGGAGACCGATGAAAAACTTACGAATGATTCTAATGGTATTGACTATGAGAGTAATTCGACTTTGACAGACAATGGAAATGCAACAGCAAGTTCCTCAAAACTGGTTATATTACTAGAGGGGGATGATACGGACGAAGAAGCTGAAATTAAATATTTAAGTAAAAACTGTGTTTTCTATGGTGAAATTCAAAACCAACGCTGTGCAGATCCGAGAAAGAAATTTTGGATTGAGTTTCTTTTTATTCATAGAATGTGTCCTTCATTTTTAAAGACTAAAAGAAAAATTGAGATTCGCTCTGTTGGTTCTCATAACCTTAGCTCTTCTATGGCACAAAAAAATCAGACTGAAGAAAATTTAAGTTTTATTCAAAGAACTGTGGAAACTAGTAGTGGGATTGTTTTAACCGGAGAATCCATGTTAGGATTGAAAAACACTGCGTCTTCGTCTGCAGATCAGGAAATAACCACTGCCTCCCCAAGCAGCAGCCTTAATAAATCAACAACGTCGTCACTAACGAGTAGTGTTAATGCTAAAAATGTATCTAAAGAACAGGAAAATTTGTCGGCTGCCACAAAAGTGGAAGCTGTACCAAAAACTTCTCAAAGCAAAGTTACAGAACTGACAGAGCAACAAGTTGATAAAGAGATGAAAGAGTCTTGTAGTGAGCCACTTCATGTTAATCCTGATCTTTCACAGATCCTTGAAGCTGCAGAAAGCTTAAAGGCTAAAAAACAGAGAGAGGATTCGATGAAAAAAGAATTTGAAAACATTAGTACTCAGAAAAGAAGTGACGGTACAGAATCAGACTCCAATAAATTGGCACCGGAATCAACAGAAAGTGTCCAGAAGGCAACTAGCGAACATGTGGACGTGTTGTTTATAAGCTACGATGAAAAACTAAAAGAGGGTAAAGCAGAGGCATCCGAGAAGGAGAACCGAGGGGCGGCGGAGAATCAAACGAATGATCCAGATGCAAAAGATTTGGGCAATCTGGAAAAAGATAGCTCAAATGACAACAAAACAGAACAGGTCAGATCTTCTGAAGACCCTGTGGAAGATCACCAAGCGATGAATGGGCACAAGGAACAGTCCTTGAATGATCCAGAAAAGAATGGAGCTTTTGTAGATGCGGAGAATGCTGAGAGTTCTGAGCTTTCAACAGCCAAAGAAGCGCAAGAAAGTTCCACGATATCTACTTTTGTTGCAGAAAAAACAGTATCTGTTCATGAGAATGCTATTGAAGATCTTGATTCGATGGGATTGGGGTCAGATTTAGACATGGCTGCTTTTATAGCACCATCCTTTTCGCAGCCTGTAAGTGTGAGCCAGAGCTCTGAGAAAACTAGTAGTGATTTAGGTGTTGGGTTATTTTCTTCGAACATTACTGGCATTGATAAGCTTAACCTGCCTGTTAGCCCTGCTGCAGTTCTAGAGCGATCGCTTGAAAGTGACATGCTTACAGTTCCTGCCACGCAATCGCTAAGTGATATTCCGCAGTCAAAGGAAGAGTTTACTCCACAAAGTATGCCTATTGACTTAAAGGAAAGCTTTACCGTTGCCACAGAGCGATTGGATGTACCAAAACAGGAAAACACTGAGAAAGTTGCTCCGGGAGACGCATCAATGAAAATTGGCAGTGGTTCATTTGGGAATAACAAAGAATCTGCAATTCTGAAGTTAAAGAGCAGGGTGAAGGGGCTGGAAACGAATCTAAGTTTGAGTATGCAGTACCTTGAAGAGATGAGTAAGAGGTACGGAACAGCTCTTGAAGAACAGCAAAAACAGTTTAAAGTCAAAATAAATGCGCTAAACCTGACGTTGATAAAGAACAAGGAAATCATGGAAAAGCAAGAGAAGAATTTAGACCAACTAACGAAGCAAGTACTGTTGTTATCGATGCAGTTAAGAAACTTGACTGAAGTAAGCAAGGAACAGAATTTAAAGGTGAATTTATTTTGTAGTTTGCAAGCAAAGAGCATTTTATTGGTGAGGAATATTTTCGCAGGTAAATGAGCTGAAGAGCAGGGGGACTAACTTACCCTCATTTTGTTTGCTTTGCATTGGCATAGGCTTACTAATCCTTCTTTTTTAATTTGGTACTGAACGACAGATATTTATAAATTGAAGTCTCGCAGTTGTGGTGTGTAATTTTCGTGGGTTTCTGCTTCTCTGCAAACGATTTCAAAGATCTCTCTCTATACTTGTCATTGACCATTTCCCTCCAAAATTAATATAGTGTTTTAATTTATGTACGTTCTGTTACTGAAAAACATGATTTGCAGATGGCAGAAAGATACGCGTTTACATGTACGGTTGAGGTCGTCATTATAATCATCATACTTTGGACCTGCATTCGAAGACCACGTGCTGCCGAGCACCAGTTGGAGCAGCGAAGGCACAGTGCTCCGTCGGCCTACAGTCATCACAATGATCATGGTATGTATTTTATTTAAGTAATAACAACATTTTAAAGGCAAGGTAGTTACTTGAATACGTCAGTGGGTGAAATTGTGGTAAGTGTTAATATCCTTGACATTTCGGTTCCTTTGAAGTGTTTTTCACAAAATAGTTTTCACAAATGATTTTATTAAGTTAGATTGTAATTCTTTTTTCCTCCGAAATTAAAAAACCTAAAATCCCATCTAAAAGTCTTGGAACATTGTTACTAACTTTTCTATTGCATCCTCTTCGTCTACTGCGAACAAGGCTGATTTATGTAATGTTTAGCGGTTCGGTGTGGCTTGATTGATTCCAAGAAGTTGGTTGTGATATTAAATTTTTAGAGGTTATGATGTTTAACTCGACAACCAAACTGCTTTTGGGCAAGTGGGGTTGTGGTGTTGGTCTTTTTTACCGGAAACAGTTGATTTTTGGAAACAGCACTTAATGGCGTTGCATGGACTTGTGGCAGGGATTTTAATTTCATGCCAGCAACTGCTTACTTTGTAATATTTGATAGTATTAAGGTTTTCCGATATTTTTCACCAGACTTGGTTTTTTGAAAATGGAGTTAGTGACAGGTTTTGTGTATGGTTTTATTGTGACTCGGAAACCGTTGGCAAAACTGCTATTTTTTGTACATTCGAAATTCATTTCATTTCTAACAAAAGTTCCTTGTTTTTTGCATTTTATCATAAATTTTAAACCTTCATTATTCACCATCACAATCTCCTTAAAAGTGATTCATCGCTATGGACAAGCTTTTTATCTAGAAGTCATATTTTTCTTCATATTTTCAAAAATATACACGGGCCAAAGATATCGCAAATCAGCTGAGCTTCAATCAAGTAGTCAGCTGAGATTGAATTACCAAAAAAAAAGGAAATTTGGAGAGCTGCAATTGTAAACCAGTCAATAAAGACCGAACGGCTAAAGAGATTGTCATGTACACTTTGTGTTATTTTGTTACATTGAAGAAAAGAGAATTTAGAAAATATTGTAGGAAAGGGTATTAGAGAGTAAAGAAACGGGTTTCATTTTTAAGTCATGGAGGCAGAGGAGAACACTCTACTGATCTTTGGGTTTATTCCTAAAAGTATTTTTAATTCAGGGACAAATGATCCCAAAATGCCTGTCGTTATTCTATGTCCTTTACTTTCAGATACCAAAAGCTTAGTTCTGGCTGCAAGTGAAAACCGCATTGATGACCAACGACCGTCCAGACATGGATATCTACCATCACTGGAAGCTCCTGTAAGTTTTTTCTACTTAAAAAGCTTCCACCACTGACTGTATTCCTTGTCATAAAGAATATCATCTCTCATTAGAGTTCCAAAACGGAATGATTTTTTCTTCTAAATAGAAGACCTCCCATTTTTCTGTATTTCTAATGTTCTCTAACATGAATCGTTCCCCCTTACAGGTAGCAACAAAGCGCAGGCGACCGAGAAAGAAAAGCAAAGGTGCGGATGAACCGGTGTTTGATACTTTAGCCCAACTCGAGGCCAGCAGTGCAAGAGAGGCTGCTATGATCAGTAAAACTGCAGGAGTCCTGTTCTCCGCTGGGAAGGGAATCTTCAATGGACTGACAGGTCGGTTAAGTTATGGTCGTTCGTTGCCTTTTCTCTTTGATTTTTCAAACAATCTTTTGGTGGTACAAAACTTGAAAAAGGCTTTGAAAAAAGCAAACAGTTAGTAAACTAAAGCTTTTCGTCTGACACTCTTCAGAGTTTAAAACGTCAGAACATAGACCGAAAACTCTACGCTAGGAAATATATATATATATCCAGTTGTGGATCGATAGGCCAATCAGAAACACGAGCACACGACTGTTGAAGTTCACCAATGGAGTCCTAAGGCGAAAACAAACTCCTTTTGTCTACACAGTAGCGGTTTTTTCGTGCTTATGTAGATAGATTTCAAAACTGCTAGGTGGAACGACGATCGGGCTTTACCAATAATCCGAAACCTGTCGCCAATATGTTTACCAATATCTTTGCTTTTTGTTTATCTAAAATCCAGTTTAATTTTCATCCGAGCTAACTGCTTCTGCTCAGTTAGGCGCAAATATATGTTGGCAAGCCTTTGGTTTTTTGCCTTACATGATCCCAACAATCAGAATCCGCCATTTTAGCGTGACACCTGTTTTCTCAGATATCGGATATTTCGGAATCTTAACTGGAATGTTTAGAAAATGAACCTTTTTCTGGTCACGAGAAAGCCATTGTCAAAATGTTGGGACTGAATGTTCAATATTTTCCTATCATTTAAATACGACGAGTTCCCGTCATCTTCTTGAAATGTTTGTTGTTCTTTTTGATGGAAAATATAATTTATTATGTCAAACTATCAAGAAACTGCTCACTTCTTCTTAGGAGCATTTACAAAGCAACCAAAGACGCAGATAGCTTCTAGACGAACTCGCGCTCTTGTTGACGTCACAGGGTACGAAAATATAAATGGCTTTGGAAGATCTCAGAGCTTGGAGACTGTTGATGAGGACGAGGAGAATCTTCCTCCGCAGAGGCATCGAAGCCTTGATAGCATTCGTGGAAAGAAGTACAGTAGGATAGCTGCGAGGTTGTCCGACAAGAAACGAGGCTGAGATGTGCTATATAATGACCCTATGATTATAATTTGTTAACTCATTCTTTTTAATCAATAAGGTGGTTGCCTGAAACCTCAAACTGATTTTTGAGGATTTGAAAGTTAAGGGCCGCGCTGATACCGTGCAAAATGGTGGGAAGAAAGTAGGTAATTCAATTTAGATCATTTTTAAAAATTGGTTTTGACTGAGAATATTTAATTGTAATTTGATGGAACTGTGACAGTTTTGAAAATTGGGACTCGCTGGATATTTTGATTTTTTTTAAATAACACTGCATGGACGTGAATGAGACAACGGCAAAAACATGCACGTGATTTCTCCGTGGTTCAGATCTGACACGTTTTGAAATCCACCGCTATGCTATTGCTGATTTCAGTTTTAGAATGTCCAGGGAATTAAGAACACAATCAAATGATTGAAGTAAAAGAAACACTAAACAATTTTGTGTTTAAACCCCCGTTGGGACTGGTTATTGAGAAACATGCCAAACGTTTCTAGAACGTTCCTTTTTGTGTCTGCTGGAGATGCCAAAGAGTCATGCGACTAATTTCAGTGTTTCATGGCCTAGATAAGATGCAAATAAATAGATTCAGTGTCAACTTTTGTCCAGGTTAGTACTTTATCATTTTAGTTTAAGCCTTTTCAAATTAAGGAGAGAACTCTGCGAACTACCCGAGGCCTCGTGTTAGGCCCAAAGAGTCCTCACATAGATCCGTTTGTTTTAAATCGGTTATGTATTTATCTTGATTTGCAATAAATGTGAATACCACCATAACATTTTCAACTCACCTAATTATATTGCTTTTGCACACAAAGTAAAAAAACTGAAATTATTTTTGTTAAGCTTCATTATTATTCACAGCTGAAAATTTATAGATTGACATATTTTATCACGACACAATTCACAACCTGTTTAAAATTTTGTACTTAATCATTAGTTAATATTATTAGTTGAACGTTCTAAATTTGTGTTAAACTTTCCTTTTTGCAAGCGCTATTTTTCCTTCATAACCTCCATAGCAGTTTTTCGTTTAATACTTGTAACAGTAATTCTTTTTATGTTATCTTTAAAAAGATGCCTAAGCTTTTAATAAATCTGTATTAACATTGACATAATATGTCAAACATTCATTGCTTGCATATACGTTTTGTAATAAAAGTGCTCTAAGTACGAGATTTAATGAGAACAATACCTTGAGATGTGGCCGTTTCTTTCTATCTACTCAGTTGGTTTATGATACAGAAAAGAAGGCTGTTTTCTCCTCGAATCCTGTCCGTAGATAAGGGTGGCCCCTCAATTAATGTGAACCTCCAAACAAGAAGTTTACTCGGATTGAAGGGGTTGTACACGTTTGTTTTCGAAAGTTCCACATGCGGGACGGAACACATCACCTCACTTAGTGACGCCAACTCAGTTTGGGAAACTAAGATTGGAACATGCAGATATCTATCTACAAAGTAATAAATAGGTATGATAATCGTATATTATTGGCAATGCCATAATAAGGTAATCGAATTGGCAATGGCATCACTGTAATGCCATCTTTGAGTTAAAAAGCCTCGAAGTTTTTAAAAACGGAAACTGATCTTCATCGCTTAGTTAAACCCTTTGGTGTGGAGATGACCAACCCCTTCCCTCGAATTGAATTGCCTTGATTCTTCAATAAGACCTGTTTGATCACAAAAGTTTGATCAAAATGTACACCCTGATACAAACTTTGAGAATAGTTTAAAAAAAATTTGTGTTCTCAGAATTACATTTTTCTCCGCAAACAATTCACCAAGCAAAACCATCGAAAATACTTGAAAATTATGGTTATCTCTGAATAATGCAAATGATAAAATTATTTATAAGAAGTTATTTTATGAATTTAACTTACCAATTATATGAAGTTAATCACCCAAATAGCAATTTGAATAAAATGTTCTTCCTCTGCTCAAAATTGAGTAACGGTCATCGAATTCAAACATATTTCTAGATTAATGCAACGATTCAACTCTAAACGCCATGATGAACTGATAGGGTAACACAGCTGACTAAATTTTTCTTAACACTAAATTATTTCCCCGAAACAAAGATCATTTCCATATAATCTGCCATATTCCTTTATCATTTTAGCCATAACCTTTTAGTTTCGTAAAATTTGCCTGAAATATTATCAACATGCAGGGCACAATGTATTCAAGTGTGGCGAAAATTCGAATTTTCTTTTAAGGGGGGGGGGGGGGGGCTCTGTAATGTAGAACTTTTTATGTGCAAAACTAGAATAGGTATCATTAGATTTGAGTTAATTAGAAGCAGAAATGTGTTATTCAACATTCCTCACCATGTCATCTAAGATACACTGACAAAAACATCGTCTCTGAAACTGTTTTCATTTTCATTTGTTTTATTCTAAATCTGAATGCAACAATCAGAATCGATATAGCTCTTCTCCGCAGCCTGGTTAGATTGAGAGGACAAGCTGAATTTTGCAGAAGATTCTTTTGGGCTTCAAAATAAAGAGATAGCTTCAAAAAAGGACACGCAAGATCAAAGCTTTAGCCTTCATTGTACTGTGCTTGTAGCAACTTCAGATACAGCTGCATGTGCAATCAACTGCTGGATCTCCACCACGCCCCGCTTAACATGAAGTACCTCTTATCTGAAGTACTCTCTAAAGATAATGTACCAAACGTCTTCTGTTCTTACAACCCTTATTGGTAAGGGATCAGAGGCTTGATTCAAAGGGATTTCTAGTTTGAAATTTTCAACAATAGAAGAATACGTACGAGTCTACGAGTCCCTTAATCTAAATAAAATCACATTTTGCAATCTGACGTTTTGCACTAAATGGTGAATGCAAAGTTAGACTTAAAAAAGCTTTTCTACTCCTTGGAAGCCTAGCTTTCCTCTCAAGACACGAATAGCTGAGTAGATCTCATCCCAGTCAAAAAAACAGACATGAAGATAGCGTTGTGACGTAGCATCAAAGGCGCCTCTCCCATGCAGTATCCTCTTGTTGTTAAATGCAAGCAGGTCTCCCTCTCTCATCTTGTATGTGACCAGATTCTCAGGTGCATACATTTTTTTTATTAGTTTGGAATAGGCCTCGTAGGTTTTCTTCACTGTTTCGGCAGGGGCGTTAATGAATGAAACTCTCGCAGGATTATTATGTGCAATTTCCGCAATGTTTCCAAAACTGTCCAGGCTGAAAGAAGCATTTAAACGGGATTCAAAAATGGCTACAAATAGGTTAAACAAGGAAGTACAAACATAACTAGCAATGAAATATAAATATAAAAGGAATATTCACACTGTTGAAATTGTGAGATAAAGTTTGAGCTACATTTTCTTGTTAAATTGTGGGAGGGGAGTAGTTGCTTCCCGAATTCCCAATAATTCTTGCCACGGCATTAAGATAATCTATTGCTAAGTTGGGAAAAGAAATGAAGGGGATAGAAATTAAATGGAATGAAAAAGGGGGATGCGAAGCATTATGGGAACTGTGCCATTAAGAAATAATTTCAATTGTTTCAAACAGTTTTCTTGACAATGACGTGTTATTTATTCAAAGCTGCAAGCCTGTATCGTGGTTATTAAGGAGGGCGAAGGTGGGGGCAGTCACAAACGTTTCTAAAAGCCGCCAGATTTTTGGCCTGCTAAATCTCTCTATATTTAGTTTTTTCTCTTTGTAACTTTCTGTGTTGACGATGCTTTTGGTGCCGAGGGGGTACTTTCTTTAAACGTGTAAAAGATGCTCTTGTGACTTATTTATCATATAATTTGGATCGACAAGGTCACTTTCAAACATAGGTATGTTGCAGAATGGTAAATTGCCTTCCAGAAGATAATAATGGCTCTTAAATTCCAAAACATTCATTTGAGGATATTTCTCTTGCTTTCTATACAATTTTTTTTTGGCTGCCTGTCCCCAGCTTAGAATCAGCGCGAAATCTGTCTTACTTCATCTTAAAAGATTTTGAATTTCTTTGCAGGACTTGTTCAATTCAACTAGGAATCATAGAGAACCAGCGTGACAAATCACCTCACCCTATAACTGGTTTCTCGTTAACCTTATTGAAATCGCCGTATTTGTCAGATCCCACGTCTCGAAACAAAAATTTGACAGAAGATAGAAGTTGGAAAGCATCTGGGTCTTCGTCTCGAAGCTGCTCGGCAATATGTCTTCCATCTACCAAATTGTTTTCACCTCCCTCTTTGGCTTGCTTGATACAGAGAAGCAACTGTACCTATTGGAAAAATGCTTCCATACTGATAATGCTTTAACGAACAATTTTAGGTAAGGGTCAAAACAGACATTGAGTATTAGTTACAAGCTTAACTGTCTGTCAATATTACTGTTTTATACTACTTAATTCCCTCTAATTAAGACGTATATAAGAGATAGGCTTTTCATTACAGGAGTTGTTTATAAGGAAATTTAGAAATTGAGCTAGATATATTACTTAAAAATATATCTAAAAATAAGTAGGTAGTTCGTTATTCATGAGAGATTAAACGTTAAGGGTGTAGACCCCCCAGTGCATATTGAAATTTCAATTTTTCGACAAAAATTTTTTTTTTAGCCATTTATGTAGAGAATTGATTTGTCGTTTTACTGATATATAGACATAACGGTATTTTAACTGCGTTTTTTTGCTATTTAACCTTTTTTGCTAAGTTGTTGAGAATTTTGCTAATTTTTTCCTTGGCAACGCCCTTAGCAACGGTTTTCCTCCCTCTTATGAAGCCCCTCCTCACTAGACAAATAGCTTTCAAATATGTTATGTTATTTGGAGAATGTGAAGGAGCTTTTCAGCCTCGTTTTGCAATGTTCAAAAGGCCACTGCCATTTCTCTATCGTTTAAGTTGGTCAGACAAAAAAGTTAGTCTCGTACTACCATGGGAAAATTTAGAAGCTTGCGTCGTTCAAAGAGATCATTTATGGCTAATCAACATGTAAAGGTCAATAAGGATGATGTAAAATTTAAAGCAAAATGCAAAGGACGGCCTAGAAAGAAGGAGACTAAAGTCAAAGAAATTAGGCCAGTTCAACTGTCACTTGACTCATTACCAACTACATCGGGGACTGTTAATCCATTTGTTTCATCTACTCCGATACAAAATCGATCAGCAGAATCAGGGAAGTCACGTTCGCTTACCAAGATATCAAAAGCACGACAAAACTTTAAAAGGTTGTCTGAAGATATCAACGAACGTTGTACTACTGAAACAGGCTATCGTTTAATTGACATGGAGTTAATTTCGCAAGCTTTCAAAGTGCTTGCCTGTCCTGAATGTTTGTCTTGTTCATTGGAAGTGAAGGATAACCACAGAGCAAAGAATGGGTTTGCAAACAAACTATCCTTGACCTGCCAGGAGTGTTTTTGGTCCTATGAATTTTTTACCTCCAAAATAGTGAAAGGAAGTTATGAAGTAAACAAGCGTTTTGCTTATGCAATGAGAAGGACTGGAAATGGCTATGCAGGTGGTAAAAAGTTTTGTGCTGTGATGAATATCCCAACAATGCCTACTAAGAAAAACTTCATGAAATTGAACTCCTCCCTGAAGTCAGCTGTCTATGATGTTGCTCAGGAAAGCATGAAAAATGCAGCAAATGAAGTAAAAAGCATAATTGGAAAGGATAACACAGATTGTGGTGTATCAGTTGATGACAGCTGGCAAAAAAGGGGATTTGTATCCTTGAATGGATGTGTAAGTGCAATATCCATGGATACAGGAAAGGTGGTAGATGTTGAGCCTATGTCAAGGCATTGTAAAGGATGTGAAACACATTCCAGTCTTGATAGGAACTCTATCACCTATCAAAATTGGAAAGAAAAGCATCTATGCAAAGCAAATATTCATGGTTCTGCTGCTGCCATGGAGCCTGAGGGTGCAAGAAGAATTTTCGCAAGGTCGGTACAGAAACATGGAATTTGTTACACAAAATTTTATGGCGATGGAGATAGTAAAGGTTTTCACGCTGTAGAAAGGATATACGAAGAAACAGGAAAACCAGTTGAGAAGCTTGAGTGCATTGGTCATGTGCAAAAAAGGATGGGAACAGCATTAAGGAAGTTGAAAAAGGAGACTAAGGGCTTAGGTGGGAAAGGAAAGCTGACTGACAAGTTAATTGATAAGATTCAAAGCTACTATGGTATTGCCATTCGTAGTAATTCTGGTAACCTTGAATCAATGAAGAAATCAATATTGGCGGTTTTATTTCATTGTGCTTCATCGGAAGATAATCCATACCATAATTACTGCCCAGAGGGAAAAGATTCTTGGTGTGGTTTCAAAGCAGATAAGGCAAATAACACAAGCATTTTCAAGCCAGGCAAAGGTCTGCCAATGCAGGTTATTGTTTTGTTGAAACCAATCTTTGCAAGGCTCAGCTCAGATGAATTATTGAAAAAATGCCTTCATGGCATGACCCAAAACCAAAATGAGTCATTCAACAGAGTTATTTGGGACAGGGTTCCAAAAACAACTTATGTTGGCAGAGATGTCTTTGAACTAGGTGTTTATGATGCAGTATGTCATTTTAATGATGGTGAATCAGCAACTTTACAAGTTTTACAACATCTTGGGTTAGAGCCAGGGCTCTTTTCTAACAAATTTTGCAACGAGCTTGATAACAGCAGAATTTATTCATCTGGATATAGAGAACTTGACACTACAAAACTAAAAAGAAAGGGATTGAGAAGGAAAAGAAAATCAAAAGATGATAAGATTAAAGAAAAGGAAGGAGATACTTATGGACCAGGACAGTTTTAGGCAGCATTATTTTTATTAAACTTTACGTTGTTTTATTTCATATTGTAAATCTTGCGTAAGGACTTTGACATTAACATTTTTAATTTTGCAACCACATTAGGTATTAAAATGAAATTTTCACAGTGTTTCTTATACATATAGAGGTATGCAATGGAGCAGTATAGGCATTATTGTTAACATGGGGGTCATAGGAAATTTAATTTACATCTGTGAATTCGCGTGATTTTGAGTACCTTTCTTAAAATTGGAAATTCCTGGTTAATCAAACTACCAATTACCATGAGGTTGCTTCATTGCAAGCTTCTTATGATAAGTAACATAATCTAAAAATTTCATTGCTGTAAATCTTGTAGTTCTTTCATGAAAATTGTTGGCGTGAAAACCTTTTCGAGTGATATTTTAGCATTAATTGGTTGCCATGGCAACATTAGAGTCACCATCTTGAATCTAATTGCCTTTTCTTGCTTTTATATATGTATGCTGTAGATATTACTCCTCATCTGGCTTGTTTCTTCAGTATTTATAGTTTGGGGGGTCTACACCCTTAAATTGTACAGTCGATGAAACTATTCGGCATTACTTTTAGTGGTGTAGTGGCTCCAAATCGGCTAGGGGGCACCAATCCTTTTTGGCGCCCCTTCAAGAACTACACCCTTGGTACAACTCTATCAGGGCCAGCAAACGTAATTAAAAGTGGGGGGGGGGCCTCAATGTTATGATTGTGCCAAAGATTTTTTGAAGGCTGCAACCATGCTTGGTGATCAGGACAGTATGTTGCTCTAGGACAGCGGAAAGCGGAAAATTTAGACCATAAAAACATCCTAGGAAATTTTTAAGGCATTGAGTCATGGTAAATAGGCTTTCTCTATAGTGGGTCATTTGGTTTCGGCGTGATCGCTGCTGTTTCATGTGATACTTGCATCCGTTGTTGACAACTTGCTATTGATGGAAACTGTTATGTTAATCAGTACGAGGTGAGTTCATGTGACCAGTTCAAGGTCAACCAATAGCATCGCAGTCATGGAAATCATGACTCAGCGGATTTTGGCACTTAGGGTATACCCAGTCTATTTATCATGACTCAATGACTTTAACAAATTTTCCTTTATTATTATAAGCCAAGATTGTTATTCAAAGGGCTGAGTGAAGGTCGCCACAATATTTGAGGTAGCCCCGAAAAAGAAAAACTTTCAACGGGCTTTTAGCACCCTTTCAAGAATTGGAGTGCCTTCGGCGCACCCAAGATTCCTGCTCATTCGGAGGGGGACGTGTTCCTATCACCACGTCACTGATTACTACATTGCGAAATTAAGCAATTTTCTATAATTTGCTATTGTTTACCCTTTTCCTTAGCACGTGCCCCCCTCAGCAGGCAGCTTTCCCGGCGTCTCTGAACATATGAAACACAACTTTAAGTTAAAATTAACAACTAGCAACCTAGCATACTTGGAGAAAGAGACAAACGGTCAATCCTGCTCTATTTACTGTTCTCTTACAAAATCGATTGAGGACTCTGAGGACTCTAAAATTTCAACTGCAGAAAACAAAATTTAAAGGGCTCAGTTTTGTTTCTTTATTGTGACATAATGTCCATAATGAAAAATGAACCCAGCAGTTTAAGTATATGAAATCTTTTTTGCTTTTTTCTAAAATTTTCCTTATACAGTTCAAATCTGTTATTGCGACTATATCAATGTTCGCTTGAGAGACTGGCACGTGAGCTAGCAATAAAAGCCAACCTTTAATAAAGAAATTATTATTCTTGTTTTATTATTATTAGACTGGCATCTATTTGAAGCTTAGTGCCTATTAGAGGAAATACGTAATGGTGAAAAGGAACCAGATATGAACCCTGTAAGAATTGGAGCTCGACTGTAAATTTTTCCATGAAGATAAACCATGCACAAATTGTTCTACCCTGAGTACCATAGCCTCATAAATCGGGGTATAAAGTATTGTAGACAGCTGCGTTGCTAAAAAAATTATCTGTGACTAGTTTTGAACTATGTTTCTGGGACTAAGTTATGGAGACTCTGGAACCCAGGGTAAAATTTTCCATATTTTTAACCATCAAATTATAAAAAGTACAGTATTTGTTCTTTTTTATCTCATTATAGGAATAATCGACATAGAAAGCTAAACGAGGTCGCTTACCTCTGGCTGGTATTTGTAATACGGAAAATCAACATGCAGTGGTAAGTCGTCTGCCGTATATGCAAGATTATTTGGGCTTGGTTTATTCTGTATAACATCGGTTTCACTGCAAGATGAACGAAGTCAATTAGGATCTTACCTTTTACCAAGATTTGCTTTTACCTCTAGCTGTTTAATTGTATTCATGTAAACTCTAAACGCTGCTGAGTATAATTTTTTATTGAGTTTGAGTTTTATCATGACTTTTTGAATACAATAATCAATAGAAGACTGTCCTGTGTAACAAGCCCATGGAGATGAACAAGCCACGTGGAAACTTTCCCCCGTATTTCCTGACCGGGGAGTCCCCTTTCGAAAAGCATTGTAACGGGGGCATGGAAGAAGGGGGAGAAGGTGACAACTTTCTTAGAACACATTTCATAGCAAAAACTAGGAGTGTAGTGGTAGTTCGTCGGCAAATGTCCGGACTTGTCGGCAAACAAAGGATGGATTACCTACGTTTTTGCCAAATTGGACCTGAACACGCCCCTTGAGCACAATAGCTAGCGATGGCCCTGGCTGTGTCTTTAAAAAAAATGGAGGCAACTTGTAAATTGATTTCTATACATGCTCACATTTTGCTGAAAGTACTGCTTTCATTCTCAAAGTAAAGACAGGCAGAAATGCCAGCCTAACAAGGCTTAGTCCCTAAAGTTCCTTATTTTTGGACCTCTATTGATCAAATTGTAGCACCAGCTCCTTAGTGGTTTCTAAAATTCAACTGGATATAAAGTTTCATGAAAAATGTGCAGGCGCATGAAAACATCGATATTCTGAATTTTTCTTTAATTGCGGCTATATAGCAAGGCAGTCATCGCGGGGCAGGAGGTGCTGGGGGGTGGGGGGCTTGAGTCAGATTTTAACAACAACAAAATGAAATGGAAACTATCAAAATTTTTATCAATAGTTTCTTTGGCAAATTCTTTAGCAACGTCCGTTCTAGGTCTGCCCCCGTTGATTCCAACAACATGCTGAAGACGGGGCATATATTTTTGCTGACCATCTTTCGGCCTCTGCACAGAATAGTCGAGTGATGATTCTAGGCACTTATCTGGTCCGTATTTTCTGAATCCAGAAGCTTGTTTGTCCATCGAGAGCCAATCACCACTTGTTTGACCTATGCAAACGTCTTGTAAGCCAATTCATCAAATCAGAAGTTGAGCTTGCCTCTGCAGCGGTACAGCCAACCCATAGGAATCAGAGTTGACAACACTGCTTCACCCCTGCTAAGGAACTTCTAGCTAAGTCAGTAAACCTTGGAATGTCTGTTAAGTAGTGTTGTGGTCAGGGCCGCGGAGAGGATTTATGGGCCTCGGGTCGAGACGAAAGATAAAAAGTAAAACATGCCTAAGGCAGATGTTTCTAGGGGTATGAGGGATTTTCGAAAATTATGGTTGCTTAAATTGCCCTGGTGGCTATTTTAGTTGTTAAAAATGCTATGATGGCTAAACTGCTCTCGTGGCAGTGATGTAGATAGAAGAGGGTCAGAGGGGGCAAAAAACCACTGTAGAGCTAAACTCCTCTGGTCTTGCCAGAAGTTTAACAAAATTGTCTATGTTTATCTAATTGCTATGTTTTGATAGAAAATAATTTAAAGCTAAATAAAAATAAGAATGTCCGAGTATGTCAGAATATTTATTTATTTCTTTTCCGATGTCGTTATGCTATGTTAAATTTCTGAATATAACTATTAATACTTGTTGCAAAGTCTACATTTATTGTTTACTTTAATACTTGTCTACATTTATTGTCATCTTGTTTTGTCTACATTTATTGTCATTTTGTTTGCATTCAGCCCAAGCCCACAAAGATGAGAAATTCTTAACAAAAATATATTGAACACTCAGGCAGTCAGACTCAAACTGCCTCTACCTTACTTCATTCATAGACTTTTGTCATTATTGTCTTTATTAATGACAGTTTGTTGTAATTGAAAGGCTGGATTATTACTCAGAAATGTCTTAAATTGAGTTATTACTTATGGGCCCTCGGGTCAGTGACCCCCCTGACCCCCTCCTCTCCTCAGCACTGGTTGTGGTATGACCATTGCGCTCGGAATGTGGGTGGCTCTGGATCGAGCAACTCAAAGGCTTTTCCTTTGCATTGCAGGTAAATGTAGTCTTCTCTTTCCGGTTCGTTTCCTTAGAATTCCTTTTTGGAGCCCCCTATTCAATATCAGTGATACTGATTTTATTCAGAAAAATTTGGGCGTTTCTAACACAAAAGGGCGTGGCTTCTCTTTCTGACTACCTTTGCATAGGTCAGAATTCAGGCTGGATCCGCGCCTGCGCATTCCCCTCTCCGGCATCCCCTCTCCGACATCCCTGGAAGTATCTTTTCACTCGATCCTATTACTACCGGGTATTTTGGATCCCTTTAGCACATTGTGCCCCCACCCCAACCCCTCCGTAACCAGGGACAAAAACAAGTGGCTAATTTTGGAGGGTCGTGGAAGAACTTTTTCTATCAACCTGTGAATTTACTTCACCTACTGCATCGATATTTACTCATAATAATTAACCTTTAACATAAAAACACTAAATGCGATAAAGGAAATCTCTAAATTTAGACGAACGTAACATGAACATTTAAACTTGTCGTAAGAAGTAAAGCAACATCTAAGCATAACCAGGACAGTATTCAATAAATTTAATGATAAAAAACAATAATCTTTCTAGTAAGGTATTTGCTGCAGATCGATTTTATCTAAAATATCTCTTTCAATCGAAATCGGTGGTTTGAGAGCAAGCGCATATGCTCGTATATAAGAACCTTGTTAAGAACCTTTTCGACTGGAAATCAGTATAGCAGCCTGTTAACTAAGAACATATGCAGGCAGCCAAAAAGCCTAGGTTCTTCTATGCGGGTGTCTATTGTATTCAAAATCTCTTACATCCATTGTTTTCTCACAACCAAAAAGACTTTTAAATAGCATTGTTGTGGTCAAGAAAGGAAATCTCGAGCAATTGAGGCCAGATAGGCTGTCTACAAAGATTTGAAAGACTTGTTTTTGAGAGTTTGAGTTGATATTTGAGAACATAATCGAATACTTACCCATAATGGATTGGTCGAAAGACACATCCTAACTTGTCCCTAATCAATTCGAGAGATTCACTTGTTCCAGGCGTGTTCTCCAGCAACGTCAGACCTGTCACAGCCACTGTTTCAAGCCAGGAAAGTAAGGTGGTGTCATCCGTTAACACTTTGCCGAACTCGTATTTTGGGATCTTTTCAGCAAGCTCGCTCCCCCAGGTAACTGGTTTAAGGCCACAATCAATCATTGATCCTATCTCCTTCTCTGGTTTTGGAAACATCCTGTCCCTCAGCCACTTGAAAGAAAATGAACTCCGATGTCCATCCTCCCATTCCATTGTAACTCCATCTTCGCTCAGCCAAGTTGACTCTGGTTTTATGTCGACAGAAAGTTTTCCTACAACATCGCAAGTTCTTTGCATTGCTGTTGCATGAAAACAATGCTCACATTGACAATTGTCACGTAGAAATATAAAAGGATACTTGCTTTGATCGCCATCGTCCCAATTTACTTGCAAGCTATCGTTGGTTGTTTCAAAGTCTGTGTTCTTGCTTGTTGGGATTTTTCCTGCAGCAAATGAACTGCATAAACGTCGTTCGGCTGTCAAGACAGTTTTCGGAAGGTAATTGTAACTTTTTGACCTCGCATAATGGATGAGAACCCTGAAATTTGTAATTTTGCGTAAAGCAAGCGCCATTATCGTCCCGTCAAAAATAATGATGTATCCTTGTCTATCCGAAATATTTCAGTGTTGCCAGATTTGACTTTTCGTTTCTCCCTACTGCGCAGGCGATTTCTACCCTTACACACGTCAGCGTTCATCCATGTCATTCATCCAATTCACTCTTGGTCGACCTCGCTTTCTCGACCCTTCCACAGTCCCATGCATAATGGTGTGCGCCAGGGTCTCTGATCGGCGTGTTACGTGTCCAAACCACTGCAGCTTCCTTCTTCTGGCGATTTCAAGTAGTGGTTCGTATGGGCCTGCTTTCTGAGTAACTTCTTCAATCGCTGAGATGTTTGTTCGATGGTCTTTAAAGCTGATCCCCAGGCTTCTTCGAAAGCACCGCAGTTCGAAGGCATTCAACCCCTTTTCAAGTTGCTTGTTGTCAGTCCACGATTCACATCCATAAAGTGCTATTGATGCTATCATCGAGTGCATCACCTTTATCTTTATTCTAACCTGAATGTTTTTGCTGTTCCAGATGTTATCCTGCCGCCTGGTTGCCATTCCAAGTCTAGTCTTCATTTCCTTCTCAGACCCTTTTTACACTTTGCCACATAAATTTTATCCGCATAAAACTTGTTCGGGTTGATTTGCATTTACACAGTGCAGCACAAATTTTGTCTACTTTTCCCTTCCGTTTACAATGTGCCGGATAACTGCAGTCACCTGACCTAAATCATGCACAGAACGTCCAAAACGAAGTCAACTCTGGGCAACAAAATAACAACTAAATTCCAGCCAACGTAAAAAACTTTTAATTCTCTCTTTAGAGTCATACGCTTCTCTTTCAGACGAAGTCCGAAGATATTGTCAAATCAAATTAGGCAAAGTTAGTTTTAAAAATTAAAAATTCGTTCTCTGAAAAAAAATGACGCTGAAATAGCGAAGAAAGTGGGGAAAGCTGATAAGGATGTCAATTTTACGTGGACTGACGAAGATGCTGCACTTTTAACACGAGTATTTACTGACTACAAGGAAGCCAAGATGGGGAAAGGTCTTGATTGGGAGACAGTGAAATCTAAATAGGAAGAAATAGCCAATCGCTTTCGAGCAAGATACGATGTGGCTAAAATTTATCCGGATAAAACCGTCTATACTGTACCACATAGCAATTCGAAAAAATTTAATCTTCTTTCCTAGGTGAACTAATTTTGTCCGGATAGCGTGGGTCTAGTGTAAATGCGACGCCTATCTGAACTAATTTTGATTCGGATAAAATTTATCCGGCACAGTTAGGCAGCCTTTCCACTAGCCTGGGTTAAAACATACCCGGGTTAAAAGTTATCCGTTTTTAAAGTGAGTCAATGGAAACGGCACTTTTCTTCGACCCGTTTTTAATCCATTTTTTATCGTTCCCACTAAGCCGGGTTAAAATGTATCCAGGGTGAAAAGTTGTAAGAGAAATCAGTATTTGCATCAAAAATCTTTCAATTTCTATCGTTGTAGGCCAATGGAAGCAACATCGACATCCAGGATTTTGTTTTTTTATTTTTGGCGCCGTCTCAATTTTTAAACGTTGCTGTTGTTGCAAGTGGATCAAAAGTTATCCGGGTTCGGCGTTTCCATTAACTCGCTGGTGAGTCAAAAGATACCCGGGTAAAAACTGACCCACTTTGAGACCCGTTTTCAAACTTATCCGTTTTTCAAGTGGGTTAGTGGGAACGCGACGAAGAAACGGATAACTTTTAACCCAGGCTAGTGGAAAGGCTGCCTTAGTCTAAACGGGGTCTCAGTTGTTACATCCTCATTCAAAGTGGATCATAGATATTAAAGGTGTCGACGGGTCCCAGACATTGGCCGTCCACTTTGATGTCTACATCATTTTTTCTCTCCCTCTCTCGATGTTATCATAACTTTACTTTTTCACTGCTTATCTCCATTCCGTGTAGTCTCGCTGTGCTATCTAATCTTCCTGTAATTTCTGTGAGTTCCTCACTACTGCCTGCAATAAAATAAATATCGTCAGCAAATCTTAGATTACATACCTTGTGACCTGCTATTAGAACGGTCTCATCAAAGCCATCCAACGCATCCAGCATTAGCTGTTCCAAGAATAGGTTAAATAAAGTAGGTGAGAGTATACAGCCCTGGTGAACCCCAACCACAGTTTGGAAGCTTACCTCCACACTCTGTCGAAAGCTTTCTTAAAGTCAATGAAATTGTGATGTAACTCTCGTTGGTGGTCTCTAAATTTCTCACCTAGAATTCTTACATTGCATATTTGTTCTACAGAACTATGACCATCAAGAAAGCCAGCTTCTGCCACGATCCTCTTGACATGTGGTTTTATTCTTTCGGCTATTATTCTCAGCATTACTTTACTTGGATGGAAAATTAAACTGATAATTCTATGCTTATTACATTGTCTTATGTTTCTCTTCTTTGGAATTGGAATTATCAAGGATAGTGTCCATTGTGCTGGCCACTCTTTTTTCTTCCACATCATTGTGCATATCTTGTGTAAGATTGTGACGGTGACTTCTCCGGATTGTAATACCTCAGCGGGGATGTTATCCACTCCTGCGGCTTTTTCCTCTTTGGTTTAGCGATTGCATGTTTGTTGAACAATAATTATCTTTTGTTATATTGATTCGTATCTACATCCGCTACCTGTTCCGCAAAAGCGGTTATACATCATGTGACTGTAATGAGTTTTAAGTGTCTTGCTTGCTGAAGTTGTGTTCCCTATTTTTATTGAGTTTTGTTATGTTGTCAGATATACACTCTTTCTTTACGCTATTTCTGTGAAACTCGACATAACTTTAAATTAACATGTTCGACTTCTCTCCTCGTTATGTCAGGCTCTTTAACCGTGTCTTCATTTGTCCCAGGTCTTCCCCTTTTCAATCCTTCTAGAATCCATAGGCTGGTTTTAATCGGATAATTGTATATATCCTTTACATACTGTGTCTTTTCGATTCCCTTTCTATCGTTAATGTTTGCATCTCTGTATTCTTTTTCTCTGTCACTGTTATCAAATCTTGTAGCCTTTAACGCATGACTTTTGTCACAAGCATCTATGATTTCTTGGGTCATCCAAGGTTGTTTTCTTATCTTTGCTTTTCCCAAGACTTCCATTGCTTGTTTCATTTAGAATTTTGGAGAACTCAGAGCTTAGAATTTGAACGTTTTCTTCTTGTTCTATCAATAATTGAAATCTGCCACCAATTTCTGCCTCGAATTTTTCCTACAATCTTGATTTTTCAGCTGTTCTAGGTTGTATTTTATTCTGGTATTTGGTTGTGTTTTTATTTTTCTTAGTTTCAACTTCATGGACATCATTGTGGTCACTGCCAACATCTGCACCTGAAAAACTTCTTGTTTTGCTAGCATTGATACTAGTTTTGCATCTTCTATCTATAAGTATAAACTCGATCTGTTTCCTGGTGATGCCATCCGGTGCTCTTCTTGCTGGTGCTCATCCATCCATCTCTTCCTGACACCTTGTGCTTTCCAATTGTGTTGGTCACTACCAAGTTATTTAGCTGGCAAAATTCTAAGAATCTGGCTCCGCGATCATTTGTCTTCCCTACTCCAAATCTTCCAATTGTTCCTTTAATGTCCTCATATGCATCAGTACCGATCATCGTTTTCCAGTGTCCTTGCAAAATTCTAATATCTATCTTGGGACTGGAGTACTAGAAGCAAAAATGTTAAGAAACAGTTAAATTTTGAATAAGTGGAACTCCGAATTTTCATGTCTTGCATATATTGTTAAATCCTTGTATATATGCGTATATATTGTTAGCTACAGTTTAAATCATATTGTTATCATGCCTGGATGGATGCGATAGAGGGTAGGCGTTAGTTGAGCTTGTTGAAGCGGAGGGCTTTGCAGACTAATGTACATATAGTCTATTGTAGACATAAAGCTATAAGATGGGTCTATGAAGGCAATTTTAATGTTATGTGAAGTTAAGGATCAATCACCACATTTGAAAAGAAGACCTTTTCTTAGGTTTTTGTTTACTTCGCCTCCCCGTGTTGATCTGGCCTAATGGCGGGTGGCGCTAGACAAACAAGAAGTTTTGAAGCCTTCCAGGCTTACTTCGATGAAAAGTTCTCAGAGATGAAGGACATCATGGCTACCAAAGACTGCATTCAGAAACTTCATACTACGATTGAGAACCAAAATGATAAAATCCAAATTTTGGAGTCGCGGATCGCTGTAATGGAAAGGCACATTAACCAGCTGCAGGGTAATGTTGATGATAACGAACAGTATAGTCGCAGACTGTGTCTACGAATTAATGGAATTCCCCCTGTACCAAAAGGACAAAGTGAATCTCACGAAAGCTGCTTAGCTAAAGTAAAAAAATGTATTCAACGAATTGGGGGTTGACGCTCCAGATGTCGTCATTGACCGCGCGCATCGAATCGGTCGCCCAAGAATGGTACAGGGAAAGAGAGTGCACCAAGTATTGGTAGGATTCACAACTTGGAGGCATAGGATCATGGTCTATAGGGCCAGGAAAAATTGTACCCAGTGCAAGATAAAATTGGATTTGACAAAGAAAAAGATTGACACAATCAGGAAGATAAGCGATTTACTTACAAGGAAGAAGCTCGGTTTTGCATTTGCAGATGCTAACTGCCGTTTATGCGCGAAGATTGGCGAGGAGTTTCATTACATAAATAGTGAAGAAGATCTGCAAGATATCATTAGAGAATATGAAGAAAGAAGTGCTACTCGAAGTGTTACCAGAAATGATACTAGTAGGGACACTGAAGATCAGCAAGACGACCATTATGATGATGAAAATGGTGATGGTGCCAATAAGAATAATTCTGGATAAGTACCTTTGTTACAGACCATTTATATGAACCCTTTACTCCGTTATTCTTTAAATTTTGCTGATGGTAATTTTGGACACATTTCACTGTGATCATCCAAGTGATTCCAAAATCGGGGGTGTCTGCATGTACTTTCGAGAGGGTCTGCCAATTTCACATAGAAAGGATCTTGAATTATTACAGGAAATAATAGTTGCTGACTTAAAAATAGACAGAAAGAAGATATTCTTAGTTAGCGTTTACCGCAGCCCTAGTCAAAATAGTGAACAATTCGATGTTTTCATGGATAAATTGCAGATGACTTTAACTCGTCTTAGGCAGGAGAAACAAACTGCATTGATTATAACAGGTGATTTTAACTGTAGATCATCTCAGTTGTGGGAGAGAGATGATAAATATCCTGAAGGAACTGTTCTTGATGAGTTGATAGAGACAAATAACTTGTACCAATTAATAACTGAGCCCACACACATACGTGGTGAGAGCATGTCTTGCATTGATCTCATCATAACTGACCAACCTTTGTTGAGTCTGGGGCTCATCCTTCTCTGGATGACCATTGCCAACACCAACTTGTCTATGGTAAATTGAATTTGTCTATCCCTTCTCCACCACCCTATAAGAGAACTATGTGGGACAACGCTAAAGCTGTGTTCCAGTCAATTAGGGATAGAATTAATGGGATTGATTGGGTTTCTCGGCTTATGGGTCTTGATTCAAACCAAATGACTGAAGTTTTCACTTTCTTCCACGTTGTAATTCATCACTAAGGAACATCTCTATTGACAGAGATAAGGTTTTACGATTAATTCGCGCTCTTGATTTAAAAAAAGCTAACAGCAGCGACAACATATCTGTTCACATGATTAAGATATGTGATGCATCAATAGTTGAGCCACTATCTTTAATCTTTAAAAAATCTGCTTGGAAAAAGGCTAACATAATTCCTGTTCACAAAAAAGACAGCAGGCAGAACAAAATGAACTACAGGCCTATTTCACTTCTACCCATATTTGGGAAGATATTTGAAAAAGTATTATTTGATGAAATTTACAAACACCTTTGTGAGTATGGACTTTTAGCCCAGCAACAATCAGGCTTTAGACCAGGAGATTCCACTATCAATCAACTGTTATATATAACTCACAATGTCTATAAAGCCTTTGAAGCATGTCCTACCCTTGAAACTAGAGCTGTCTTTCTTGATCTCTCGAAAGCGTTTGACAGGGTTTGGCACGAGGGCCTGTTATACAAATTAAAGTGCAATGGTATAAATGGGAATCTTAACCCTGCTACAGAACTGCTTGGCAAATCGTAAACAGCGAGTTGTTTTGAATGGAAGTAGCTCAAAATGGGCACCGATATGTGCTGGTGTGCCACAGGGCTCTGTCTTGGGGCCATTGCTTTTTCTTGTCTACATTAATGACCTTGTCGAGAGTGTGAACTGTGATGTTAGGATGTTTGCAGATGATACATCTCTCTTCTCGGTTGTTGAGATGAAAGAAGATCTGCTGATGAGCTTAATGCTGATCTTGACAGGGTCCGGTTGTGGGCATGGCAATGGAAAATGAAATTTAACGTAAATAAGACTGAAGAGGTTGTTTTTTCTAGCAAAAGAATGAAACCGGTCCATCCACACCTTCTGCTAGGCAATGATGAAGTCGTTAGAAAAGCCGAGCACAAGCATCTTGGAATGCAACTTGATTCTGAACTTAATTTTCTAAGTCATATTAAGGAGGCTATTGGCAAGGCTAGAAGGGGCATAGGGGTGATAAAATTTCTATCTAAGTATGTGGCTAGGGATGTGTTGGACCAAATATACAAATTATACGTGAGACCTCACCTAGACTATGGAGATATCATTTATCACAAATATGATCCTGAAATGCGCTTAACATTTACGCAAAGGCTTGAACAGACCCAATACTCTGCAGCCTTAGCTGTTGCTGGCGCCTGGAGTGGTACAAACAGGCAGAGATTATACGAAGAATTAGGACGGGAAAGTCTGTATCACAGGAGGTGGTATAGAAGGCTATGCCATTTTTTAGCTTAGTTAAATCACAATCACCTGATTACCTTTTTCATGAAATTCCTCCCGAACGTCAACCTAGTTACGGTCTTAGATACCCTCGTGATTATGAAGTAAAAGTTGCTAGAACTAATCGTTTTTCGAACACATACTTTCATAACACCTTGCTTGAGTGGAATTTGCTTGATGAAGAGATTAAGAATTCAACATCCCTTTTTCAGTTTAAGAAAAAATTATTAAAAATGATTAGACCGGAGGGTAATCCTGTTTACAATAACTCTGATATTGAGAGCATCCGATTGCTCACCAAGTTGCGTTTAAAGTTTAGTTTACTGAATGAACACAAATTTAGACACAACTTTGATAGTCTTACTCCATTTTGTGTTTGCGGTACTGAAAAGGAAGACAACGAGCACTTTCTTCTGCACTGCCCCTTGTTTGACTCAATGCGGCTCGATCTCTTTGATCAGCTCTCAGAAATCCCTGTTTTAAATGTCAATCCAGATGATAAATCTTTGACTTGCTTCTGTTTGGAGACTCTCATTATAATGTCATTATTAATCGAATAATTCTTGAAGCAACAATATTGTTTATCAAAAATACGAAAAGATTTTCAGGTTGAATTCAATCGCAAAGCAGCAGCAGCATTTTTCTTTTATTTTCCTTTTTCCCTGTAATGTTTGTAC